CTGGCCCTGGTGCCACCCTGCTCTATCATTAGCCGCCACTGTTGACCTTGTTGTTGTTGACGTAGCAGCTGTAGTTATTTCTGCAACGCTGTTGTTTAGTCTGCTGGAATGGTAAAGACACTCCCTGTTTTCCTGGATGCTTCCCTTGGGGTTCTCCGGCCAATTTTGAGGGAATCCTGCTCTTATATAAACGTAAAATGGTGCTTCAGTCAGACTTTTGGCCGGCAGAGAACAGAGACTTCTGGACTTGTTCTGGCACTGCGAGCAGACGGCTGTGGCCCTGGAGAAAACTCTCCTCAAACTTGGAAAACTCATAAATCTGAAAGGGAAAATCATTAAAGAGTTTTACAGAAATAACCAGGACTGCAGATATTATACAGATGAAAGTAGCATTGATAAGACGGGACAGCTTTTCTTCAATAGTCAGACCATTAAAGAAACATGATCAGACTTTGAACCTCCAAAAAACTGTTAACTTGGTCTAAACCAGCCAACTTAAAGCTCCTGTGAGTAACTTTCAGTTTTAGTTAGTTTTGTTGCCCGCTGTTGGCAAAGATGTAACCCTTGTCTTTTTGCCGATCTTGTCCTGAGCATGCTGAGGCTGTATTATCTGCCAAAAACAAATATGTTGGCTAACATAGCCTGCAAAACACCTTACAGTTTTTCTGCCACATGCACATTTGCAAATATATATAAAAAAAATGTAATCCCAAATGAGACATCATCTTTATTTTAATCTGTTTCTATGACCTGTCAAAAACTTGTCACGTGAGCTTTAAAATCTTTTTAAAACACCTAGATTTAAAGAAAAGCACAGATCTAACTTACATTTTCAAAGTTCCTGTCATATCATGGAAAGTGATCCTTTTATAACAACAAGTTTTTTCCATCATTTGCCTGTGCTTGTGTTTGTGTCTCCTATAAAAATAAGGGAGGAGTTTGGTATCTTCAACAATAATCTGCTCAATGTTGTGGAGGTCCCGGTCTCCTCGGGTAAGGGCAAAAACCATCACCCACATCTCTGTGGGTGTGATGTGGTATCTGGTGTGAAATTTGCATGTTAGCAGCAGATCCTTTAAGCCCTGTAAATTGTGAGGTTGGCCTCTTTGGATCAACACACCCCATAATATGTCTGATTGGACTGAGGTCTTGGAAAGTTGGAGACCAAGTCAACACCTGATTTTCAATGTTGGGGACCTCCGTGCCACCTTGCTCCATTGCTCTGTGGTCCGGTTTTGATGCCAAGGTGTCCATTGTTGGCAAGATCACCCTGACCAGTTGTCTATCCCAGGGGTTCCCAGTTTAGATGTCTTAACTTTTGGGTTTAATCTGAACCTAAACTATTAAACCGGGGTCCTCCTCTCAGCACACTCCCAAAAACCTATTTTCCTGCCTCCAGCATATCAGCTTAGTAGACAAAATAGTACAGGCGTCATTGTAAAGGGATGATCTTTGTTATCTTCACCTGTTAGTGATCATAATGGTACCCTACCATTAAAAAAGACGATGTTGGTTGGGTATGGCGGTGGATTTCTGTTGTTACTGGCTGTGGCAAACGCCAGGCAAAATCCAAAAATAGTAAACCCTTGGCATTCCTCTTTCACAGCAAACAAGTACTGGCCATTTTACGGGGACTTGAAAGTATGGTCCTACTGTTCCTGTGTCTGGAGAAGTGAGATGCGACAGTCACAGTGAGTCAGCATAAACAATGCAAGGATACTGAAACATTACCCACCAGGTGGGACTCAGTCATCACTGCTGCAGTTGTTTATTTCTGTGCCTTTCCTGCTGTGACATGTCAGACTCGCTCTGAAATAAGTACCAGTTTCTCTATTGTATGAGACTAACTATCTCTCCACATACTTGGTTGCATAAATACTGACAATTTATTTTAGAAGCAAAATCAAGAACGGGAACATCATCCTCCACACAACTAGCCACCTGGCTCTATTCATGAGAAATAACAACAAACCTACATGAGACTGCGGCGGCTGTTCAGTTTGCATTGAGTCTACTTAGAGAAACCATGGCTTTGGACAAATGCTGCCTTCAAACTTTGATTTCTGAAGTAAAAAAATATACGTCATCAGTAAGATTTGGCAGGGTTGGCTGGCAGACTTTATCTTTGTTGCTAGGCTAGCTGTTGTCCCCTGTATCTGATCTGTATGCTAACCAGATTTTAAAAGGCACATTTTACTAAATGTAATGAGATCTTCATATTTATATTTGTTTTGTTTTGTTATGTAATTATTTTCACCTAATTTTGGTCATTGCTACCTCAACTTCCATCTTTACAAAAGGCACAGGAGAATGATGTTGAGGACTGTTAACAGATGGGATGAAAACACGTAACAGTCATTTTACAGATTGACACACAGCTTGACTGATGAAATAGATGATTAGAGCTTACGTGAGGAGATTCATACAACAGGACTATTCCCTTAGCTGATCAGCTGACACCTACTCTCTCACACTAGTTTCAGGGTATAAAAAAGAGGATGTAAATATTTTCAACCTTACCTCTGATGGTTTTGTTTGATTTTGAATTTCATTAAGAGGCAATGATATGAATTTTAGTCTTGTTCACAAAAGTCCAAATACCCTTTTATAGCAGCTTTAAGTAGTTGCCAATGATTGCAGCTAAAACTGATTCAGAGAGATCATGTTCTGCGAAGAGGTGAGGTTATGACACAGTGATTTGAGCTAAAGCAAAAACATGTTAATAAAGAAAGGCCTCCAGATATTGTATAGATTTTATGAGTGGAGAAATAAAAGGGATATTTTCAGATGGGTAAGAGCAGCCTCTTTAACCAAAACCACATCCTTGTTAGGTGAAAACCTCAGATGTTGACATCTAAAGCTAATATGGAAGTGCCATTTTTACAGTAGGAATAAAAAGTACTAAAAAAAGTTTTCATCTCAATTGCTCCTCTTGTTCCCATTTTGGCTTTATTTCTTTTACCAAGGAGGCTTACTTGATCTAAAGCTCAAAAATGAGGGTGACTCAGCACTTCAAATATGGAGTCTGCCTGAGCTGGGCTTCATAACACCTCTTCAGTAACCAACAGGTGACACCTCTGAGACGGCATCTGTGTTTCATACAGTCTGTGGTGAACACTAGAGCTTTGAAAGTGCTTAAAAACCACGAGAAACACCAGGGATAAACTTTGCATGTCACCTTTGTACTTCAAACATTAAGAATAAAAAATACAATATATTATCTTCTTGTCCATGACAGGTAGAGGAGGCTACTGCAGGAGCTCTGCAGCTTTAGGATGAAAACAGAGCAATCAAGCTCCTGCTTGATGACCTTTTTCAGATAAACGCAGGAGCTGCAGTCATTAAAACCACATAATCGGCAACTTAAAGGGATATTCCAGCGTAAAATTAAGTTAGGGCCAAACACACAGTAACACCAAATTAGACACCACCTCGAGAGATGAATGTTGCAGACTGCTTGATTCTCTAGATCTCCCAACTTTAGTAAAGACCGCACTAAAGCAATACACAGTGGTCTACATCTCCACGCGCAAACCTCAACCAAAAAGCCACTCTATAGCCACAAATAATGCTCAGAACAGCACCTAACTTCATCAACAGTACATATAGGGTCCCAGCCATAGTACCACACATGAAACATATTTTTAGCTTTGTCAGGTTTCTTTAGCAAAGACACCAAACACAACTCATCCACTCCTCTTCAGCAGCCGCTTGTTTGACGAGTCGATCCCTGAGTTCAGCGTAGTGTCGCAGCTAAAGGAAGAACATTAATGATTATTACTTCATGGAAATGATCCTCTGCACTCGGTGATCGACTCGTCAGAGCTCCCCCACAAACAAGCGGCTGCTGGAGAAGACTGGGTGAGTTGTGTTTTCTATTTTGACGCTGGAAGATCTTTTTAAAGTCATTCCTCCTTGATATTTTGACAAAAAAAAAAAAATAAAATTTAAATAAGCAAAAGAGGCCGCCACACTAGAGTTATTTACCTAAAAGTAAAGGTAAAAACTAATTTGCTGCTCCAGTGAAGCCAGATATGAACTACGTAAAGCACAAACGTAACATATTCTCTGTCTCAGAGCGATCAGGTGCTATCATTTTTAGTTGAATAAGTCAAACTGTATCACTGAAGGCACTAACAAATGATTACCTGCATTTTAGGTAGAAACAGTCTGTTTTTTTTTTTAAATAATTTTTGGACCTTTCAGTGACAGACTGTGTTTAAGGATATAAGACAGTGAAAGATGAGTCCCCTCTTCTTGCCTTGAGGTGACTAAAGAAGGAAAAAAGGAGAGAGCGGTGGGCTGGGGGGTTAATGAAGAGCTCAGGCGGCAAGAACAAAAAGCTTTAAGAGCTGTGACACTTAAAGAATCTGTTTGAGAGAGAAAGAAAGAGAGTGTGTCTGCAGATGATCCATCTCTCAGGCGACAGAGACAGACAGGGTCACAGAGGGAGGGGGAAACTGTATATGAATGCCCCCCCACCCCTCCTTAGCCACCACCACCCACAAAACCCTGAGTCATTAGTCACAGTCCCTCTCAGTCTGAGTCTGTTTTCTTCTGTATTTCAGAGTTTCTTTGCTGTCTTCACTCTGAGCTGTGGACAGCTGAGAAAATGAAGAAGCTGTCAGGCTGTCGGAGCAAGAAGTCAGACCCAGATCCACACACACACACACACACACATATATATATATATATATACATGCAAACACACACTCTGCCTACAGCAATAACAATCATTAAAAAGTCCTCCACCTCCTTTAGCTGGCAGGACAAGCTGAAGTGTTTTTATTTCTGATTAAACACACTTAAACATTTTCAAGAGGCTGTGGTCCTTCAAGTTAAAGTTTACGATGCTGAAGGAAAGCAAGTGTGTGTGTGTGTGTGTGTGTGTGTGTGTGTGTGTGTGTGTGTGTGTGTGGGCGCCCCAGTAAAAGCTGAATGAAGTGTGTATGAACCCTGTGCCCCGCTTCCTTGTTTGCACTGTCCAAGTGTTATGAGGAATGGAGTGCTTTATTGACAATAAGCATTTCCTCCCTCTCTCTCTCTCTCTTTCACTCCCTCTGTCTTTCCACATGCCTCTGCGCCTCGGAGATGAATGCCCCGAAATCGTCATAGCAACCACCACAGCACTAAAACCCCAATCTCATCTTGGCAACCCCACAAACTCTCAAACTATCACTTCTGACTCCGGGTGCATAAAGAGGGTGTTTGTCTGCCTGAAGGGTCCTAAAGTGTTAAAGCTTGTTGTCAGCAGTGAAAAGGAGGCAGCCCTGTGGGGAAATCAGCTCTCTGGGTGGAGAGGGGTGGATGTGAGTAGGGGAAGTGTCATTGGGAGATGGTCAAACGAGGGAGGTGGAGTCGAAGAAAGGCTGAGATTGGACAGATTTGGAAAAGAGATGTCAAATTGAAGAGATATCCATTTTACTTATTTACTTACTGTCAATCCCCTTTTGTTTCCACTCTTCCAGTCCTGACTTTGACTTCCTTTTCAGTGTACAGACTTGAAGTATCAGAATAATCCACTTGACATTAGGGTGAATGTACATAATTTAGGAAGTTTACAGTTTATTGAACTTCAGCCAAAACCAAAAGTGTCACCCTAAGTCCAGAGCCCATTTCAGTTTACTTTAGGTTATTTGATATTTTACAGACTAAACAGTTTATAAATAGTGAAATAGTCATTGAGCATTATCTACACATTTGTGTCCAATACATATCAGACAGTCTGTTGAAGGAAGTTTTCTTTGGCTGGGTCAAAGTCTGCAGTCAAAGTAGATTTTATCAACATCCTCTGCCTCACTGTCTCCCCCTTTCATCCCTCTATTTACGTCCTTTTTCTACATGCATTATGTAACGCTCATGTTATTATTGTTATATCGAGTACAAAAGAGGAACAATATTGTTGCTGCGGTGGACATCCTGCAGAGTGTCAGGGAGCAGACAGGGGGCATCAGATAAGCCGGACTGCTGCTGTAGCTTTCTGTCATCAACAGGTTCTGCTCAACTGAACCCAGGACCTGAGACGCTCTCTGTGTGTTTGTCCTGATAGAGGTGCTCATTATGGATGGTCTGTGTTTGTGTGAGGGGTGAAGATGGTGGGGGGGAGAGGGCAGGGGGACAGCGCTCAGGTTTGGTGTGGAGGTTTAGGGGCTTCGTGGGTCAACGGATTTTTAGACCAGTATTGAGAGAGGAGTCCTGCTCCTTGGGGTCTGCTGTGTGTGTTTGTGTGTGGAGATAGTCCAGGGGGTCTCTGTTATTGTATTGGTGAGTAGAAGGGGGTGGTGTCAGCAAGACCTCATGCTGCTGGGACCAGTCCCTGTCTCTAAAAAGGGACGACAAATAGTCGACACATTGGCTTTAGTGTGCGAGACTGAGGGGCTTTTGTCTCCAGAGTGTCGTCCGTATGGGACGCATGGCCTGACATGTCCTGAACTTTAACTGCTGCTGACAAAATACTGCGTATCAGAGCGGTGGTTCCTGACCTGAAGGTTACTACACCAAGACAGATTTTTGAAAAACAAAGATGCGTTTATTTTGCCAGAATTTGCCCCCTTTCCTTGGAAGTTATACAGGATTGTAGTACATCAAAAATCCCAAAACATCCATGTACATCATAAACCTAGTGCACCATAAAAAAAACCTGGTGAATCTTTAAAGCACCCATGAGGAGCTTTAAGCTACAGTAGTTATGAATTAAACTGATATCAGTACTGATGTTTTCTTGTGATCTGCAAACACACAAAATTATTTCTGTAAAGCAGTTTTTATGCCTGCTAGTGTTACAGACATGCTAAACCGAAGATTTCCTCTATGTTTTACTTTGATTGAAACAAAGACAAGCTAGCATTAAGCAGTTTTACCTGTCATTTATTTTATAGCCTGTTGTAAGTCATGAAAAACTGCAGTTCCTCAAATGTCCACTTGAGGCTTGCTCCAAAAGTCCAGGAATCCATATTGGCAGCCATGTTAAAATGCCAACTTAACACTGTTGCTGTCAGGAGCAGACATAAGCTTTGGTCTGAGCAAACTTTTCATCTGTGAACACTGTGTGGGTTTTTCAAAGCTCATCTATTTTTGAAATACGAAGACTGAAACTCAGATTTGTACAATTGCTTTATGGCAGAGTTGACTGACAGGCAGGTATGATGTCACAGTTTTCCAGGAGGCTCCAGGCCTGCCTCAGCCCCACCTCGTTCTCTTTTTTTACTACGTAAAGTGTTCTCAGTGGTCTTTAGTTTTTAGCCAAAATCATGTTACCTGTGTCATTTTTAGGGGCTTTTCTTCTTCAGAGCTCAAGTAGCTCATTAGCAATTCTCCTCTGAGTCATGGACAGAGACAGCGCTGCTCTGCACACTCGTCTTCATGCTAGCTTGTAGCCTAACATTGCCAGTGTAGAAGAAGTGAAGAAGTGGCAGGTACGTAGGAAATCCCACTGTGTCTGAGCCTACCATTTGGGTCTGCCAGAGATTCACAGTGATTTGAATGCCGAAATACTCAGAAATGCAATTTCGCACTTATTTTTCTCATGATATGTCCTGTAGCATCAGTTAAATCTCAATGAATAACAAATTGTATATTCTGTGACTTAACATAGATGTTTCTAAATATTCTATATGTGAAATTCAAAAAAAGTTTTTTGTTTTTTTTTTTGTCTTTTTTGTCTTGTCAAAATCCTAGACATTTCAAAATAATATGTTTGAAGGCAGAAATTGTAATACCCCATGACAGTGAAACCATGATTTTTTGCCATCTCATACTGGCCAATGTTGAAGTTGTTCACCAGCATGACAGTGTTGACACATACAAAAAGTTAAATTCTGGTGTTCATTGCTCTCTAAGAAATAGACATCAGCTCAAAACAAGGACAGCAAGCTTAACAGAATGAGAGCATATTACAGGCTCGACTAAGAGTCAGGGTTGATCTGTGGAGTAAATTATACTTGTATTGAGTTTGGGACTGATGAGATACTTCTAGGACCAGCAAATAAGAAACACCATCCTACTCAGTGCAGGTAGGAAGTGCCTTTAATTAACTCTGAATGCTACTGGACTTCCTTTTGCAGTCCAGGTCTTTACTTAAAATGTTGATGTCTCGAGTCCACTTCAGAATAATCCTGGTTTGTGTAAAGAGTAAACTGAGTTTGGGTTGTGGAAACAACCAAAGTTCAGGGTGTTGTGTGAAATGAAAGATGTTGGTTTGCAACAGGTGATTTCCTAAAGTAAAGTAAAGGAAAGGAGGACTGTAATTGTGATGCAGATACTGATACTGGAGCAGTGGTTTTGAAAATACTAGCTGTCCTTTGAAGTATAGTTTGATGGATCACAGGCCTTAGAGATTGGTTGATCTGCCCTGAGAGACAGTGCTGCTTGTGTCCATTGCCCCTTTTGCTCATTTACATCTTCAATCCCACTTCTGACATTCTGCGTGCTCACTCTGCCCGGCCCTTTTTTCCCTCTGATCTGGGACACAATGAGCGCTACAGTGTCTCGCAGTGGACGAGGAGCTTTTGTTTGAGCTGGCTCCCGGCCTATTGATCAGCCGTGAACTCCCCCCCCGTAAAGTGTGTGTGATCTCTGGAGTCTGTGCACCAACAGCAGCGGTTCAGCTGCCCCGCTGAGCGTGCAGCAGACGCACACACTCACAAACGGTGGCGCCGGCCCTGTGAGCATTACAGGAACCGAGCTAAAAGCTCAATGTTGATTTGTGGAATGAGAGAAGAGGAGGATGAGATGAAAATGTTGGGGAAAAGATAAAAGAGGAGAAAAAGAGAGGAAAAAGCAGAGGAGGCTCTTAATGTGGAACTCCCAGCTCCTTGTAATTTGCTGCGGGAGAGAGGGAGGAGGAGTCAGGGGGAGGGGAAAACCCAGCAGGGAGGGAGCAGAGGCCATTCACTCTGATACACACACACACACACATGCATGGACACACACATGAACACTTTTAGACACACACATACAGGCTGTGGAGAGAGGGAGGGAGAGACATTCAGAAGGAGAAGAGGAGATCCTCAGCAAAGTAAAGAGAGAAGAAGGAGGAGAGGACACCAGGCCGAGAGAGGAGTGTGTGTGTTTGTGTGTGTGTGTTTACAGAGGAGAACTCAGCCTTGGAGCGTGCACTCCTGTGTATGTTTTGGAGGAGTGGACTGCATGCAGGAAGGATTCACAATGACTGGAAAAAACTGGAAATTCTAAAGGATTGTTTTTTGTCAGGCTTTGCTGGGAATACAGTTTGGAATACTTTGGAAATGTGACCTGCTGTGGAAATCCAGCTTTCATTTAGATTTGTGCCTCACTTTTTAAAAACCTCACACTCTTAATTCTTAAGTGGAAGAGGAATCAAGACACAATGCCAACCGGTAAGCTGCAACCACGCTCAAATCTTATTATTTTGATATATTTATTTAAATCATAGGCTCACAGGAAGGTGACTTCTTCTTTATGTGGTGGGACTTTTAATCTCTGTCCAAGTTGTTGAGTGTCTACAAACCTCATCTAAAACAAGATCCTGTTTTGGGATGTCTACATGAGATGAATACTTGTTTAACACAAATACAAGATCCTTTTTCAAGTGGTCAAACTTCAGTCAAATATAAACATTTCTGAAACTCATTGATGGTTTTGGCTGTTTGTTTTTGTGGGTTTTTTAAAAGCTTTGTGTGTCTGTGTGTGAGAGATAGTTTTCCTCAGCTGACAGCACTGTGTGAAGTGTCTTCACAGCGTCCGTCTCTGGGCAGCATGGTTGTATGAACAGCGTCCTCTGGTTGTTTTCTCACCCCTGGAGTTGAATGGAGGGTGTTTACTTTCTCGCAGACGTTGGGGGTTCGAGTCCCTGATGATGCTTGGATGATTGTGCGCACAACTTTCAGCTACTCTTTCATGACTGTTGGTGGTTTTGATTTTATTCAGCATGTATTCACAAATGTTATACAGGTATAGGCCATTTGGAAAGCTAAAAACATATGTTATATTTCTGTATTGGAGTTTTTCTGCTGAAGAACTCTAAAAAGCATCTTTTTGTTTATCCTCTTTATGGTGTAGGTCAGAAAAGATCAAGAAAACCTCAACAGTCAGACTCCTAGCTCTCTTCTTCTTCCGTTTTCTACCTCTTATCTCTCAGGGCCGGCACATGTGCCAGGCTCCTCTTACTGGCTTTAGTTTTGACCGAGTGTTGAGATGCCATTCTGCAGCCTGTGACCCAAATTAGAGCCTTGGGGGCAGCAGTTTGGGGGGTGGCCACAAATGGGATAGAGTAGAGGAGAGGAGAGGAGAGAAGGAGGAGGGGGAGAATAATTACTGTTTAGAGCAAACTCTTTGGTTTAGAGGTGCCGGAGACAATGGACCCCTCCGTCCTCCTCCTCCTCCCACCCTGCTAGCTGGCTCAGTCCTCTGGGAGGACATCTGCCCCCCATCCTGAGCGCTCACGTGCAAGAATCTGCAGCTCCATGGAGGAAAAACAGGGTGCAGAGTGGGGGGTGGGCAGGTCCCTGTGGAGTAATCTGTCAGATAAAGAAGAGAAATCAATACTTTTCTTCATGTTGCATATTAAGAGGGTAGATTCAGGATTCAGGAGGGTCCGGGCTAAAATCCAGAGAATGAGGCTAGTGTGTCACACTCAGAGGGGAGGGCCAAGGGTATATGCAGCGAGGGGTCGCACGGGTGTCCCATGGGTGGGTGTTAAATTATGTGTGTGAGTGTCTGAAAATAAGGAGGTGTTAGTTTGCTGTTGGAGATGTCTTTCCCACAGAGGTTAAACACCGGTGCTGCTGTCACACACATTCCTCTCTCATGTCAGCAGAGTCACTGACAAACAGAGGTGCACTCCTGAAGACTCCAGGCTTCAACTCACATAATTCAACGATAAAGAGGTGTTAACTGTGTTTAAATGCCGTGTGCATGCTGGATTTTATCAGCGTTTTAATGGTTTGACTTTGAACAAAAGCCATTTGTCGCTGATTAGCCTAGCAGCCGTGTGTGTGTTTACTCTACCTGTGTTTTGCGAGGCAATGAAAGCCACAGAAGTCCATAAAATCGCACATCAACTTTATACTCCTGTCTTTACTAGTTGTGACATGTGTTCATTTCTTTGAAGCTGTCTGGAAATCCTATCCTCTCTCTCCCAAATCTCCTTTTCTTTTTCCGCCTATTCTCTCAAACATCTGCATTATAATATCAGGCCCCGGTCTTTGCAGCTCTTTGTTGCTCCAGTGATAAGTTGCTCATTTAAAGCCCCGCCCCCTGTCTCCAATCCCATCTTTGCCCCTCTGCCCTCGCTCTTCTCCTCCGCTGTGGTTTGGCGGTGGTGTGAAATCCTGAGTGACACTTTAAGGTCCTCAGCGTCAGTTGTGATCAAGCCTGCATCTCTATCAGAAACAGACAAACCACGAGATGAGAGGCTGGAACGAAACGGGGAGAAGCAGATTAAAACTGTCTGAGGCCTGAGTTTGACCCTTAAAAAGGGTTCAGGTGCTTGTAGAATTTGGACTGAGAGATCAGATTTTTAAGGGTTAAAGAACCACACAAGGCAAGCTTGAATACGAGACAGAGCAAGTGGGAAATGAAAAGAAGAAAAAAGGGGAGTGGGTGGTGTTTGACCTTTGGCCTCTCATCTCATCTCTTCTTCCTACTTTCATTCCTCTGGGTCCTCTCCTCTTCATTTCTCACTCTCCCACTGACACTCGGGTCCCCTTCTCGTCAAGTTTCCTTGCACTGCTACCCCTCAAGTTTGAAGTTCAGCAAGATGCGCCAAAAGTGAAAACAAATTCCACCAGTCTACACGCAATTTATCCCACTTCTTTCAGAAAAGTTTTAGCTCACCTGGGGGCCTTGAAGCTGTACAGTCAGCAAAAGTTGCATGGCATTGAACTCTTTTGCCAGCTGGTAGGCCTGTTTAGTATAAACAAGAACACACACGGACAAACAAGGCTGATTAAAGGAGTCCAGAGCCGTTCAAATTGTGTGGTCAAATCCTGTCTGGGCAACCACCTCCACGCTGGGACCAAATCTTCAGTCTTATCCATTAAATTTAGCTAATTTTTGATAAATTGTATAAATGTTTTGTACAAATCTGGGTACAACACTTTGGCACCTGTTGTTGTTATTATTATATAAAAAAATGCTTTGTATCAGATATGTCACTGTTTAACATCTTATCATGATTTTTAGGTAGAAATCAGTCCACTTTGAGCTGTGTCACACATAGATGCACTGATACGAGAAAAATGTCTGAAGAAAATGTCCTGAAATTTTAAATGTTTCTGCTTCAGAACTTTCCAAATATGCTTTTTGTTTTTGTTCTTGGAAATGATTCTCCTCTCTTAAGTGGAAGTTTTTATTTGTCTAGTTTCTTGTTGCTCTTGCAGGTTTGCAAAATTCAATTCATGATTTTAATGTCGTCACCAAAGTGAATTTTCCTGGCTTACCCAAACTTAACTTGAGCCTGGCAGGAAAATTTCTTGATTAAGTTGAGATGAGAAATATCTTTGCATTTGCACATGCAGCTCACATGTAAATTTCAGGCAATTTCATGAGTTTTTGTGTTTGTGTGAATACAGCCTGAGAGACATTCAGGCCTTCTCCCTATAGACTTTGGTCAGTTTGGATAATGACGGGTTTGAATCAAATCTATTATGACAAAACTGCATGTTTTAGGTTTTCATTGACCTGAGATGTGCTGTAAATATAATTGGATTTTACAAATTTTATTCAGTTTCCTTTTTTCAAAATGTTCAAATTGGCTTTTTCTGTCATGCACGCTGAATCGCTTTTGAAACCTAATAAAAACATGCCAGCACAGCTTGTTTTTAGGTGACAATTAAGGCTTTGGTATGTTTAAAACTCTTCTAAATATGTCACTCTTATATTCAAACAGTACAAAAGGACAACGCCTACTGTGATTTCCTCTCAGATGGTCCCTCTAGATGAGACTCAGTCATTTGAATAGGGAGTGTTAGGAACACATGTGCACCAAATGCAAATCTAAGCCCCGGAGGTCTGCATTCATACACACAGGCTGGTCAGTGTGTATTTTTATAGAGTAAAGTATATGCTTGCAGAGGGATGGTCCGAGCTCAGAGGAATGTCCCGTGGAGCTCATGTACATGCAGCCAACAGTTACTTCATGACCAGCCAAACATATACTGAGGCTGGATGTATAATAGGAAGAGGGAGGAGATGAATGGCAGGAAGAGAGAATAAAAATGGTAGGAAATAAGACAGTGGCTGGAATGTGGGGAACATTTTATGTAATGGCATCAATCAAAAAAGGAGAGTGGGAACAAGTGGAAGGGGTTGTAAATGATGATTGCTACTTGTGGACATGCTCTGGAAAACTGTCATTGGTTCTTCTTCACCAGCAAGAACAGTTGTATAATAAAGTGTTGTAAACACGTCTGTATGTTTGCTTATATCACACTGATAAATTTAATTATTCAAATTCACAAGTGGCAGGACAAGTGGCTTTCAGTCAAAGGGGAAAATTTGCATGTCGCAGGACAAATCTGGATATCAAGACCATATGCAAATGTGGCTTTGATGAAGGGCGATTCCTTTCTTGTTGCATTAAATCCAAGTGTGACTTACCTTTAGTGCAGTTTTTGGTGTCTCTCCAAAAAGATCTAGAATATAATACCTCACAGACTAATTTTGCACTCTTTAAATCTTGTGCACCATTAAGTTCGACGTGCATCATGACATGAATTTTATTGATGTGTCTGACGGAGTCCCAAAGCAGTCTAAAATTTATGACTCTGTGAATCATGAGCCCAAACACAGACGTCCAATGCAGCCTTCGTAAGCTGCATGCAAGGCTATGAGGTCAGCATGGTGTAACCCACAGCGTATCTGCCTCTGTGGTGGTCACTGTAATCATGCGTTTGCGCCAAACTGATCCTGAACTTGCCCGACGCAGTCAGCCAAAAGTAATGTCAGCCTTCAGAGCTAGCCAAACCAAGTTTGTACTTTCCAAAGATAGATCCTTTTCACCACGAAATCCTCTCCTTGGCTTCATTGTGTTTTACTGCTGAGGGATACTCCGTGGTAGTTTTTGTGTGGGCTTTGTTGACTGGACCAGCATACCTCACATTGTTAGTTTATTATATTTGATTCAACCCAATAATTAAGGGATACCACTCAAGCCAAAATAAACACAAGGACTTGTTCTGCATTCAACTCCTGCACATGGCAGACTACTTAAAATGTTATGATGGGACTTAATGGTTGAAATATCCAAATCAGATGTTTACATGCACGTTATAAAACACTCACAGGGCTGTGGTAGCTCCCAGTGAGGGTCATCAGGGCTGTAAAAAGTCAAGGGTGCTCACAGCTGTTTGCTGACCACTCCAGAGTAAAGAGCTCTTCAGGTGACCATAAAGTGTGCGACTGAAGTGGACGGGTTAAGTGTAGCATGAGTCATTAAACCTGGCTGGACAGGTAGTGAGGCTTCAGACTGACGGCATGGATGAGGGGAAGAGTTATTACATCTCACTTGCTGCAGTTTGTGACTTGCTCAGGTGTGAATGAATGTACAACTTTGAAGGCTATATTCAACTGGTGCAGATAGAGATTTTTTTAAAACGCTAGTTTTTTTTTAGGGCTGCAGAGTATTCCATTGATTAATCGAGTAATTGGATAAAACATAATTTTGTTTTTTGGTAAGTGAAATTATCGCAGAACAACACGCAGAACAACACGCACACTTGTTCCGCGTTAGTGGATTGCAATTCTCATAAGAAAGCTAATTATGATATTAACTTTCATCATGTACCTAAAGACATTAGTGTCCGAGAGCTGAATAGCTCCTATGTTGCCTGCTTCTTCTACGACACCAGCAATGTTAGGCTACAAGCTAGCATGAAGAGGAGTGTGCGGAGCAGCTATGACTCCGCCCACGACTCAGAGGTGAAGTGCTAATGAGCTACTGGAGCTCTGCAGAAGAAAAGTCCCTCGCATCATTCATTTTTTCTGCTCCGCAAAACCAAAACCACGCTTACTCCTCCTTCTACTGTGGGGTCATGAGCGCGTTATGTCACCTTGAAAATTATCAGTGTGAAACAGTGATGATTTGTTTTATAAATGAGTACTTGATTATCATTTTTTATTGTTATTTTTAATCAGTTTGAGCACTGTGACTTTTGTTTTGACCATTTGAATCCATTTATAATACAAAAACAAAACAAGTATTTTCACAAAGGTATCGTAATATCTTTAAATGAAACATGAGATTTGTGTTTTCATTTGTGCAAAACACCACATGTGACTCACAGAGCTCTGCCAGTGTTTCGTACTCTCTCTCTCTCCCCTCTCTCTCCCTCAGCACATTGTCCGCCCAGGCCTCAGTCTGGCTCTCACTGTTTGCCTTCCAGACAGGCCTGATGTTTGACGTTATTAAACTTGGCCACAAAGCGCCCAGGCTCCTTTGTCTTTTTCAAGTTAAATGAAAGCCAGAGATTGAAGCCAGGTTGTTTAGGGCACTCGCTGGTTCACTCACTCCTCAGTTTGGCAGGAAACACAGCCCTCACACACTACTCTAATCCTTGCATGCATGAACCTGTGACACACACACACACACACACACACACACACAAAGGAGAAACAGTCCTAACCTGCATGCTTAGGACCATAATTAGAGATCATTTACAAGGATCAGGTTGAACATAATCTGGAAGGGAGGTAACCAAAGCTTGGCCATCTTTGCTTTGTCTGTCTGTCTGTGTGTGTATTGAGGAGGGGTGTGTGTTGGTTAGCCATGTGTGAGAGTGTGTATGTGTATGTAAGAGCCAGTTCACCCAGGAAACGGGCAAGGTGTGCCCAAAACATGAAGCTTAGAAGGTGGGAAGGAGGGCCTGGGCAAATATAAGATGGAGCAACCTCTGACTGTGATGTTTGGGTTTCACTGCGGGCGGAAACACATGCCTTCTCTGTATTTGCTCTCCTAGTATGTTTATGTGTGTGTGTGCATGTTGCACATGTGCACACTCTACTGCTCGTCCAGCCTTAAAAGCTTGTGTGAGGATCATGAGTTTATTAGCACGGTCAGCGTTATCTTTTGAGCTGATAAGCTTAATGCATTTAGTGTGAAACATGCGCACACAACAAAGGTAAACTGACTTTATCAGCAGTGATAAGGAGGAATAAACCCCAGATTTGTCAAAAAGCCAATAAAACGGTCAGTTAGGCATTAATGTCATGATGTGTACTGTAAAATTAACCCTTTGTGTGTTTTGTACAGTGACTTGAAAGCCATGTGTGGCAGATCAAAGAGCTGAGGCTTGTCAGTTTATTGTGTTGTTTTCATTCATTGAATATTTTCTCCTGTCTGATCGGTAGTCATTAAAAAGTGGGTCAGGCTCGGGAGTGCAAACATTAGGGTGGACACACACACACTCGCACACAGGCATGCAAGCGCACACAAACAGTGAATCAGTTCCAAACTTGTCTGAGAAAAACACTGTTTCATGCCATTTCACTTTTTGGACGCTCCAGTTCCTTTTTGTTTTTCTTGGCACAGCAGTGAGGCGAAATTAAAACAGGGAAAAGCAGTGATTCAGCACTTAAGGCTCTCCCTTTGTTGCTGTTTATAAGAAGTACATACAAAAAGGGTCATTTTTCCTGCTGCATGTCCAGGATGGTTGTGTATTTCTTTAAAGCTAAGCAAAGCAGGATGGAGGTTAGGGTCATCACGTGTCCTAACACTTGCTATATTTTGCTAAAGAAACAGGCAAAGCTAAAAAGATGTTTGGTGGCTAGTACTATAGCTGGGACCCTATATGTGCTGTTGATGAAGTTAGGTGCTGTTCTGAGCATTATTTGTGGCTATAGAGTGGCTTTTTGGTTGAGGCTTGTGCGTGGAGATGAAGACCACTGTGTATTGCTATCCTGTGGTCTTTGCTGAAGTTGGTATAGAGAAGCAAGTGTTTGACAAAGTTCATCTCTAGAGGGGCTGTCTAACTTGGTATTACAGTGTTATCAGTGAATACATATATATATAAAGCAGATAGCTAGCTGGCAAACAAGCCAACATAACTATGTTCTCATAACTAAATCTGCACCCAACCAAACTCTAGTTCAAGTGTACTTTTCTGGGTTGGTCTTTGATCAACTTGCAGCCAAATACTAACGTTTGAAAATATTATCTTGACAAATTTTGAGTCCCACGTCTCAATTGAGACATCAAGGATACATGGGTGTGTAAAATAAACTAACAGATCCAAGCCTTAGAATTGGATCTACTTTCAACACTGCATTGTGAGGTAAACTGTCTAAATTTGCGTCCTCTGATAGATGCGACTGCATATCCAGGCACAGCTTGGAACTTGTAGGCGGAGCTGCATTAAAAAGCATAATTTTGTCCATGAGGTAGAAAAGGCCTAGTTATTTCCTCCCACTTCATATTAACCTAAATTCAACCCACAACCTGCTTCAAACTGCATGCACAGGCATGATTCTGGTGAACTTTGTGAATACTTTGGTTGCAGTCAGAGCAGACTTGGCATCAGTCGTGGTTTCCCAAAATCAAACCTGTGATCTTTCCATGAGACACCAGTCTGACCAGCATGCCTGCTGCTTAAAAGGTCTGAAAAGAGGTGTCACCATAGCAGGAAGACCTCCAAGGTACCTATTTGAAAGGTGAGAGAGTGGGTATGCAGCGGGTATTCTTTGTGCTTGTTCTCAGGTTCACGTTTCATGTTTTTGAACTTGAGTCTGTGATCTTCAGAGCTTTGAAGTGAGACTGGCTCAGACTGAGCCGGTGCTGTTGGCAGTGAGAGCAGCTCTGTCCTATAGACTGGGTCTCTGTGTTGCCACAACACTGGAGCTGCTGGGGTCACTGGTGTATCGAGCCTTGATGGTAAAGGCTGGTGTCAAAGTCCCGCTGGGCTGGTATGAGGCTCTCTCTTTGTTTTTTTTTTGTATTCCCTCCTATTACTGTCTAAGGGTTGACCTTGGAAAACACTAAGGGACACTTGGAAGATTTCCGTACGATACTCTGCATGTGCAGTTTCACTTGAGCTGGCCTGACTGTCGGCCTTGAGAGAATCGTATCTTATTGGATCTCTACAGATACTAGGTTGAGAGCCAGTTTGGCACCAGGTTCACGCCAAATAGACTCCTGTAGTCGCTCGCACACACACAAACACACAAACTGGCCTCTCTTCCATGTAAATAGAGCTTTCATTCATTGCCACAGAGGGGAGAGTTCTCAGTATTACACTGTTAATCCTGTCATTACACTGAATCTCCCTTTCAGTCTGCAGCAAAATGCTCCAAAACACACACACACACACACACAAACACACAAACTTCCAGCTCACACATACGTGTGTATGTTTCTTTTAACCATCCCAATACATGGTATGATTCCTTGGGTGGAATTGAGGACAACCTTTGAGGGCTAATAGTCCAGTGGGTCAGTTAGGCTGTGGTCTGTGGGAATGTCAGGAATTGAGACACTAAGCAGAGACTGTGAGGATATGAACGTGGCATTGATAGTTGCAGGAGTTGCGCACAGAGGCTCTTTTTTGCACTTAGTTTGAATACATGGTCTGCCAAATGTGCAAATTTTATTTGACATTTAACGGCTCTCTTGCGTCAGTGAATGATGATCTTGATCATAAGAGCCATTAAAGTACTGCAAACCATCACAATCTGACCCTTGAGCTGGACACTTGCGTTAATACATGTTAAAGCTTGTATGAGGAGTTTTTTTTATGATAATCAAATAGGCTTTTATTCGTTTTTGATTTTTGATGATAGACAAAAGGAGGCCAGACCATTGGCAGCAAGACTGACAGCTTTTAAACAGTAGTTTTTGATTCCTCAGATCAGGCAGGGGTGTAGGTATCAGCTGAGCAGCCAGAGAAACAATTTTTACAATTTCCTCATAAAATACTGACAATGAATCTAAATGTCAAAGGGCAGCAGGATAAGATTTTTGTCAGAGGATAGCTCTTTTGCATGTAGACAAGAAAATCAAAAACTGCTTTGTCCACAGGGAGCGACAAAACTCACACAGTTTAAATGTTTATCGCTGTAGCTTTAACTTACTACATAAAATATTGAATTCAGATTAAGGTAGTTTTGCAATTTGTCTCCAATTATGGTTTACAGCATCTACTGACTGTCAATCTTCCTGTCTGTTTTGTAAGACCAATTCAGAAAGGACCTGTTTTTTTTCTGAAACGACTCCTCAATTTTAGAAAACCGATATTTCATAAAGAATAAATAATGACTAACGCAAACCTCTTTTCTCGTTTTCTCCTTCAGACGATTTTAACTTCCTGCCTGATGCATTACCTCCTCTCCCCGAAGTCCCGGACTCTGGCTCAGTCCTGAGCTCCGTTGACTTACCAGCCCGCTGCCTCCGCAACCCGGCTTTCCTCCACGCCTCCTCACGCTACTGCTCCGCCCTCAGCATGGACTCCTCTCCAGACAGCGCAGAGAGACCCATCAGCTACAGCTCCACGTCTTCCTCCGCTTCTTCTAGGGACAGTCACTGCTCACTGGGCAGTCGCTCCACCCTGATCCCTGCCCCTCATTGTAACGCAGTGACCCCAGACCAGGACTCAGGGGCGATACGGTTGGAACTGGTCCCGGCCCGGCAGCTAGGATGCCAGGAAGAAGATGATACAGGGAAAAGGCAAGAGAGGCAGAGCAGTGCACAGACTCCAACAGAACATTCAGAGCCTGAGCTCAGCCCGGACGGAGGAGAGCGGACAGGGCAAGTGCAGGGTCCGAGGACGTATGTGGACCGGGTGGTGCAGGAGATACTGGACACAGAGAGAACCTACGTCCAGGACCTGCGCAGCATTGTAGAGGTATGTAACGTTCAACCACAATCATTCCTGAACAAAACAAAACCTGTTCAAAAAATTAGAAACAGACGAATCTTATCAAAAACACTGGCAGCTCTTTAAACTCATGTTAGCACATTTGGCAGGACATCAAACATGAAGTGATGCGTTAAACAAATCTATGCTTTTGAAGATTGTTTCAACTCCAAACATTAAGTCTCAGCTTTCACCCAGGAAAAGTGTTTGTTAGTAAAATGATCAGTGAGGAGTTTTTAATGCTTAAAGCCTTTGGTTTATCTGAAGTTTTTCTCTGGAGGGATAAGAGGAGACAAATGCAACTTTTTCACTTTGAAGACATCATCTTTGACATTATTACAATCCTCTGAACGTACAGACTAAATAACATTTTAAAGTTACTGTAGGGAACTTTGGATTTGTCTTGATTTTGAGGATCTCTTGTAAGTATTTGCAGTAGAAAGAAGTTTAAAGCCCAATTTTCTAGCCAGTGTCAAACATCAACCTTCAACAGCCGTTTTCAAGCAACAAAAATATCAACAGTGAGATTATCAACCTCATTGCCGATGGTCTTGTTTGTTGCTGACAGCCATAAAGAGGCATCAGTCTGCTTATCAGACAGTTTAAGACTCCTCACAGTATCTAGGAGACAATATTCAACTTCCACTTGTCTCAAAAATGGTTGTTGTCACTTCCCAGCATGCTCCTCTCAACGATTTTTGGAGTTATTCCATTTATTGTGAATATTAGACATGTTAAATGTCTACCATTTAGGTTAGGGAGGCTCAGACCAAAAAAGAAGGCAGTCGTAATGACACTGAACACTTGTGGGTTATTTGGACAATTAATTGGTTGCGACAAGCCTCAAAGTAGGCCAGACACCCCCGATCAATGTCATTACTCCCAGTTTCATAACCTGAAATAGGAAATAACTTTTTCGACTTGGTTCTGACCAATCAAATGTTTAGCAAACCAGTTAATATGTGGTGATGCACATGTTATGCACCCACAGCCTTGGCTAATTTTTGTTTTTCCACTGAGTGTCCATTTGTTATTTGCTTTATAACAATCAAAGTTCTGTAGGCAAAAACTTCTTTTGGTTATGACAATTCTTTTATTCCTTTTGCACAATTAACCAATGAATTCAACTCAAATTCCAGCCGCCAGCCTGCGGTCAAAAAACAAAAGGCTTCTTGTGCGCAACACCTGAAGTAATTAGTGGGCACCTTAAATGTTCTTTGGTGCACTCCACATAGGTAAAATAATGAATGGTTAAAAATGGCTCCACCAGTATGTAAGAAAGTTGTTGAATTCAACACATTTAACATTTAGCACAAAAACCATCATAGTGGCAGAATTTACCATGCGCTGGGAGGAGAGGCTAGCCACATCCCACCATCTGAAAAAAGCCAAGTACCAATACCTAATTGACGAAGTGACTCTTCGTGGCACACAAGGGTGGCACACAACCATTTATTTTATTGAGGTCAGCTGCTGTCGGTTCCCAGCAAAATCAATGTGCTACTTCCTCAAGAGAGTAGGTTTGGAGCCAAAACAGCTGAAGAAAGCCACCAGGGAAATAGCCACGATGGTAGAGTCTAGCTCAAGATGGTTGTGGAGCCCCACTCAGGCTAGGTGTACTGTTTAAGGGGCGAAAACACTCTGACCCTGAGATACCTGCTGATGATGCAGAAGGGTTCCCAACAAAACAGACGTGCCAAGGAACGTGAGGAAGGATTCAGCCTACTTAGTCTGTAGTTGCCGCTTGTAGCGTAGCATCTTTGATGTTTATCTCACTTGTAATGTTTTAAAATTGAAGTTCATTGTCCAAACTTGTACAATCTGCAAGGTAGGAAATGATAGTCCATGCCAGTGTGGGTATAGCTAGAAATTTTGATTGTAGCTTGTTACTTTGGACTCCTCCACAGCTGTCCTCTGGGCTGTCTATAAAATGAAAACGTTTGAACCTCTGGAGGACCCAGTTGAGGCCCAGGCAGAAGGACACCATAAATGTGTTTCATTCCAGCGCCTGTTTGACCTTGGTCTTTGCAGGAGGAATACAGGGGGCTTTAAATCACCAGATAACACACATCCCTTCAGGTCTTTGTGGTTTTCCTCCCACACGTGACACACACTGCTCATTGCCTGCTGGGAAACCTCTGACACAATAAGGTCACCTGCGCTTACAGGTGGGGTTTGGCCGGGATACACGACACCGCTGCCATTGTGCTGCAGGCACAGGCACACATTCAAAACTGTTCCTCTGAAGCACACACCCACAGTACTGTATGCACACTCTTAGATAAATCCATTCCTTTCTCTGAGGTCGTCTTTGAACTGCGAGGATACACAGCGCCTCTGGTCAGAGCTTTAGCTGCTTTGTTAAAGACTGGGTGTACTGGTTCGAATCAAAGGTTGCTCTCATTTCTCTTTGTTTGGCTATTCAGATGTTTTTGGTTGTCCATGAAACTGAAAATTCACATCATAGATGCTGAATATGGTGCGCACATGTGATGCATGTTTTGCATTTAAGTTTATTTCGCATGTGTGTTTATTTTGCATGCATGTGTTGGAGTTTTGCCCACTTTTTCCATATCCTCCTTCCTTGCAGTGCATCCCCCCACCTTTCTAGGTTGCAGGTCCATGGGTCAGTGTGTGCATGTGTGTGTTTGTATGCATAGGTGTGTGTTATTCAGGGTTAAAAAGTTCATTCTGTTGACAAAAAAGAGCAGGAAACTCATTTTCCCAGAAGACATGGTGGGATTAAGCTCGAGGATTTTGTGGCTTTGACCTGTCACCCCTGATCGATGTCATATCCCCTCCTACTCCTCCTTCCTGTCCTCCCATCTTTAGGTGAGGGGGAAAAGGAAAGGCGAGAGGAAGGTAGTTTTGAGGGATTTATCTCCGAGATAACGACATCTAAAGTAGGTTACAGAAACACTGAACAGAGCTTTAGAGCTGAGCTCAATAACCCTCTCCTGCCTCTAGACTTCTGCAGACCACCCAGTCCTGGAAGACCCCGCTTACAGAGCTGGACAGCTAATTCTTCAAGCATTTAGGCTTTCCTCACCCTTTTAATGACTGTTCCAGTGAGTGCCCAGAGGATGGATTGCACTGATTGTATCTGGATGAACAGAGCTTTTAACATGACAGTTCAGTCCAGCTTGGACCCGGCTATTATCAGCACTGTCCTGTTGAAGCGGCTCCTGCTGCAACCCTGTGTTTCAATAGTCCTTTAGCCTGTGCTGCTTCCTGCAATAGAAGAGGGTGTGACAGCCTTAACACAAATATTTACCCAGACTCCCCTGGTCTCACCTGTGTTTCATCTGTCAGCATGGCGTTGAAGTCCACACACAGTTACACTCACACTGTGCCATCGTGTGTGTGTGTGTGTGTGTGTGTGTGTGTGTGTGTGTGTGTGTGTGTGTGTGTGTGTGTGTGTGTGTGATTTTAGTGTACTTACAGCAGAAATGTGAGCTCAGGGGGTGCAGTATAATTTTGCAGTAGCTACAACAGGTCATTATTACAGTGACCTACAAGGACCAGCGATCTGCAGTGGTCTGAACAATCTTTATTAGGAGAGAGACACGCCGCAACTGCAGAAACAACAAAGTTTAAAAAACACATGTAAAAATCTTGTTTAATGCTTTTATTGTTATTTACAGCTGCTTGCATTTTCGTTTTATATCATTGGGGCCACATTAAGAAAAAAATTAAGACTTCATGATCAAGTAATTACTTATGAGAATAAAGTCGTAATAAAATCATTATAATACTAATGATAATGTGGTTCTGATGTGCAAAAAGATTAAGTATCTCCTTGTTTGAGAAACCTATATTGAAGTATTGAAGTATATTGAAGTACATTTTAATGAAATGCTCCATTGCTCTCATTTCAACAACTGTCATTTTAACTAACAGGTAAGAATATAAGAACTTCATTACTGCTTTATTCTCATTAGTAATGACTTTATTCACTTAGGTAATAACATTATTACATCTTTATTCTCATTGGTATTAACTTTATTATGACTATTTTCATTAGTAATAACTTTATTACAACTTAATTCTTGTTAGTATTGAGTTTATTATGACTTTATTCCTGTTAGTAATGACTTTGTTAAAAGACTCTATTTTCGTTAGTATTAACTTTTATTACGACTTTATTCTTCTTAGAAATGACTTTATTTTTGTTTGTAATGACTTTTTATGACTTTATCATCGTTAGTAAAAACTTTATGACTTTATTCTTGTTAGTAATGACTCTATTCTCTTAAGTAGAAAACTTTAATCGCTGAGTCTTAATTTTATTTTGTCCTAATTTGGCCCTAATACTCCATCATATGCAGCTGTTTCAGCTTTTTGCAGCACTTTTTTTTTATTTGCAGCTTTTTTGGACTGATGCATGTGTTTTTTGAGTTGTGCAGTTTTTGCTGTTGCAGCACTTCTCTCCTGATGAAGCTTGTTTGGTTCAGCTGTTAATTTATCAGCTCTCATCGGCCACTGTACATTTTCCTGCATTCATGCCGAAAGGAAATAATCAGAGCAGTAAATCTTGACGAATTTGAAAATAGATGCACAGCTGGGAAAAAAGACTAAACTAAACCAAACTAAATATGGCCAGCCTGTTCTTTGCTTTTTATCTCCCTGTGGAAACATCTGTTGTTTTCATAGTAAATACCAACCGGTTGAGCCATTTGTGCCATTTTGAGCTTTATTCGGAGTGTTTTTCTCACACTGGTTGAACGGTTTTCTTCCTCTGCCTCTGTTTTCTTCTGTTTGTGTCTTTTGGGGGACCTGTACATTTTTGCATGTAAATTTAGCATTGTTGTTTGGGTGTGATCACCCCTCCCTTGGTCACCCACAAACAGCCTCAAACACACAGCTCTGATCTTTCTGTCCCTCCACCTCTTCCTCTCATCTCACCCTTTTCCGCCCTGTGACCCGGACCACATGGCCACAGCAAATTGAAGCTGACCGTGAGTTTGGAGATAAACTTAAAGCACCACTTTAGCATTCTGGTGTTTGCACTTGGTTTTATCTGGAGGTATGACGTCCTACTAGGATGCAGAGTGAGGAATTTGTTTAGTGTTAATGGTTAACACGAGCAGGTATCAAGTTTGTGCGTGTCATGACCGATGCTGAGTGGGGAGTGAGCCTGGAGGTGTGTGTGGATCCTTGTCAGCTGGGTGTGATGAGTGAATCTTTCAGGCCAGGTCAAATCCATGACCCCGCGGCTAATAAAGCATCGCATTACACATCACCGCTGATGGTTGACAAAATCTAAACATGACCCCACAACATGACCCCTGACATAACCACCAACATGCCCATTAGTCGTCTTGTGTAACGCCAAATTCCTGAAAAACAAAATCAGGGCTTGAAGCTCTCAAACCCTTAAACATTCAAGATGGCCGGCATTCTCTTCATTTTTCATTTGAGATGAGATCAGAGTCTCCTTTTTCAGCGCCCATTATTTAACATGTTTTAATGGACCACTCAGGCTTGGCTTTTGTAATGATAATGATGGATAAATACATAAAACATTACCTGGAACAGAAACCACAGTGATGCAACAGAAATAAAGCAAACAGAGTCTCTCTTTCCTCTTTGATTGCTCCAGAAACACAGTGTGTAGTGTGTGTGTGTGTATGTGCACGTTCAGTTCTGTGTTGTCTGGTCCTGCTCAGTTTACTCAACTGTTACCGCACCACCATTAAGATCTTTCCTAACCCCTATCCATACCCGCTCCTTGTTTCAAGCTGAAATACGGCTGTTGATGGTTGACATAATCTGGTGGACATGTGAGGTGTGTACAGGTGTTTCTTCTGGATCTGTGTTTTAGATTTGCTTCACAGGCAGAAACAGAGTTTTAGAGACATTTCTGTTAACTGTCTTCTAGGGCTGGGCGATATGGCCTCAAATCAATTTCATGATATATTGAACAGTTCACTGCAACTACTCCACAAGCTGCTCAACCCCTCCCACATTAACTTCGTCTACTTCAGCCGCCGCTCCAGCTGCTATAACTTTTGAACCGTCCTCCATCTCCTCATCTGTTTTTCCCTCTTTGTTATGGACTGGATGGGGTGGAGTCATGTCTTCGACGTATGACAGCGTCTTAAAGGGAAATTAGACCACAGCCTACCTACACACATCCAAAACCAACTTTTATTTATTTTTTTTACACTGAATATATTGACATGGGCAAAATAATGATGGTTATTGTTACAAATTTCAATATCAGTAAATTTTCGGTTTAATGCCCAGCCCTACAGTCTACAGTCAGATTCAGATTTTTTGGCTGGAGACGGCCAAAATTTTCAATAAACGCAAACAACATATCACAATAAAAAATAATGACACCTGGAGAGAAAAATGAGCAACAAACTCAGGGGTGCTCTGATACAAGTACTCCGGATTTACGCTGCAGCTGTTACTTTGCACACCCATGTAGAGACATGAAATGTCTCCACTTTCAGTATTCCCATTAAGAATACAGCTGAGTCTTTCTAAACCTGCATGAATGTATTCAGTAAACACAGCCAGGACCTCTGTCCCTTTCTCCTGAACTAGTGTCCTCTCTCTGGCTTTCACTTTCCCTCTTACAGGCGTGACTGAGTCCTGAGGCCGCTGCTGTATCAGCGCCTCCAACTAACGACAGTGATGAAGCCTGTGATAAGAGCCAGAGAGCAAAATCCCCTTAAATTAACTTATACCTGTTTTTTTAACAAAGAGCCATGTTAAAACCTGCGTTTCTCAGCATTCCTGTGACTTTAGGATTTATTGACACTAAACCTGATGACCTGTCTCATATCCTTATCAGGCTGTTTACATAAAACAACAATCATACAAAGATAAGACCAATGGGCTGATGTCAGCTTTTTAATACACCTGGCCTTGGCAGTGATGTCAATCCATCTTTTTGTTTGTTTTGTCTCTCTAAAATTAAAAAATACCTAAAGTTATGAATAAGAGAGGGTTTATTTTGATCACCATGGTAGTTTTTTCAGTGTCTATGGTGAAAGTTAAGATAGTTTAAGAGCACTGAGTTACCATTGTGACAGATGGAGGTTTAAGATTCCTCATGTATGTATATTTCATCCATTTTTAAGTTATTTTCCCATAAGCAGCATAATTGAAATTCACCGTATTTTGCTTTGTTAAAAAATACACTCCATGGAATTTTTAACACAAGCTTTAGAGAATTTTTTTTTACACTGGGTAGAAGTGTTTAAAGTCACACTCCAATCGTTTTTCTTTTACTTCTCAAAGTGTTATTAGTGGGATTTTAAGTTGTGATTAGGAAGTTTTTAGCCAAAATCACATTACCTGTGTCATTTTCAAAGACTTTTCTTCTGCAGAGATCCAGTAGCTCATTAGCAATTTGGGCGGTGACAGCGCTACTCTACCCACTCCTCTTTACGCTAGCTTGTAGCCTAATATTGCCGGTGTAGTAGTAAAAGAAGCAGGTAACAAAGGAGCTATTCAGCTCTTGGACACAAATGTCTTTGGGGACAGAATGAAAGTTATTATCATAATTAGCTTTCTTATGAGCATTACAATCTGCTAACGCACATGCTTGTTCCCAAGTATGCAAGTCTGGCCTGCATAGCAGGGTTTTGGGGGCGGAGCTTGGATTTGCTATGTAGGAAAACTCACTGTGTCTGAACCTGCCATTTGGGTCTGCCAGAGATTTACAGCGATTTGAATGCAGAAAAACTCAGGAATTTAGTTTCACATTTGGTTTTCTCATGATACGGCCTCTAGAAAAATGCCATATGAACATGTAGACAACAAGAAAAACAGGGTTTTCATCAGAGCGGGTCTTAAGAAATGACTATCTTTGAAAGTCAGAAGTCGCTCTGTAATAGTTTATACTGCTAAAGCTTTCGCATGATGACTCATTAAACAGCCCTTAAATTATCATTGTTATTCCAGCATTAACACTTAAAAGAATAATCAAGTCACCCCAGGAGGACTTTGTGCTTTTAAACCCACTGTTTCAAAGTCTGTAGGAGTCACAGTGAGTGGGGTCTGTCACAATCAAGTGTGTGTTCGTACCAAAACTTCTGCCAATCAAAAAGTCAGTCCTGTAGCTCTTACAAGGTCTGTGTCTTTTTTTCTCTCTGTACAGGACTACTTGGAGTCTATCAGTAACCAGTCTCGTCTGGCTCTGAGCTCTGAAGATAGAGGCTCTCTGTTCGGCAACATCCAGGACATCTACCACTTCAACAGGTACAACACAGAGCAACAGAACTAAGACCTATGCCACATTTAATACAGCATTTTAATGATTAGACAGGTATGATGCCTGCTTTTTTAGGTCACTCCTCTTTTGCCTGTCCAGACTAAAATGTCTGATAAATTGACTCTTTTCTGTCAAGTGCAACAACAATAAAAACCAGTCATATGAACAGTAAAACTAGGCCAAACCACCTGTCAATTTGTGAAAAGGGCGTTGTTGTTGTTGCAGTCAGGTGTGTGTACATGTAATAAGTCCCTGTCTGCATATTTTTGTCCTCTGGCACTGCTCGTAACTGTGTTTGTACGTGTGTGTGTGTGTGTTGTGTGTATCCAGACTAAACGGTTGGCTGAGCATCAGCCACGGTGGTCTGGAGACACACACTCCTTTTTCTCCCACCTCTTCATTTCTCAGCTGTCACTCCCTCTCAAACTGGCCAGTACAACCAAGCATAAAAGCAGACTAAAGCGGTCACAATGACCTCATGCTTTAACCATGAAACAATAACTTCAGCAGCAGCCCTTTTTGTCACAGTGTGCACTTACACACACAAACACGCACACAGTCAGTGCACACTGTCTGACACACAGGAGCTCCCTGTTTGAATTCATGGAAGTTTCTTAATTGTTTGCAGCCAAATGCCCTTACACCTAGTTTCTGTAACCAGGGTGACTCTTGCTATTGAAATTCAATGATTAGAAAAACAGTTGCTCTTTGTGACTGAAGAGATCATGGAATAAATATTTTGAGCTCTGTTTTTTTTTTCAGGGACCTTCTTCATGATCTTGAGAAGTGCAACGCCGACCCTGTGGGCATCGCAGAGTGCTTCGTATCCAAGGTAACCAATGACATCCTTTACACTGCTCTTGCTCTTCTTCCTTCCCATGACCACACCTCTATAACCAGATTTTGATGTCTTTTCATAACGTCCAAAATCAAACAAGACCTTTAGCTACAAGATTGACAATTTTTTATTAGCTGTGTTTTAATGGATGAAACCAGCGCGAGGAGGTCGGTGTCAACCAGGCGGCTGAAGAACCAGCCCAGTTTTTGCAATGTCCATGTAAAACATTTACAATAAATAATAAATTTGACTGGCAAAAGTCAGCAGGGTAAGATTTTAAACTCTACTCAAGCATTGAGAAGCAATGAATTCTTTGTCCACAGGGGGCGCCAAATTTCAAACAAACCAAAAGTTCTTTACAGGTGCTTTAAGCTGGATCAGAAGTACTGTAATTTGTGATCTTGAAATAACCAGACTGTGTCAGATAAAAGTTGCTAAACTTTGATTAAGGATCTGAAGAATGAACAGCTTTGATTTTGTTCTTCAGACATCAGGACTTTCAGACTTTATCTCTGTTGAGGAGTGCTGTTACATCGCTGTTCTTCTACTTCTACCCACCACTGTCTGTCTATCTGCCCACATGCACACTCTTCCTTCCTTCCTTCCCCCTGTTTAAACTTGTCCAAACAGCTGCTTCACACACACACAACCATGCACACGCACACACAGACCTTAAAAATGAGAAACAGGTAATGCTCCATCATGAGAGGGAAGTAAACAAAGATCAGATGAAGACGCTGCTTGAAGCCAGTAGAGTTTATTGAAGTTAGTAGCAAGATTTCAGAGGTAGGAATGTCCATATAAAGAGCAACAGGAGGGTAGAGAGGAGTGACAAGTATGGGGGAATTTTAAGGGCTGTTCAGATATGCAATCACCTTTTTTTACTGCAGGGGGATAATAGCAGGGCTTCATCAAGAAAAACTGGACTCAGCAACTCTGGTCACGGTATCACTGCTCCTTTTTTCATGCATTTACTCCACTCCTGCTCCTGCCTGTCCATCCCCCTAAACAAGAAGAGAAAAAAACATGATTATGTCCCATGGTAGTGCGCTGCATACCAGCACTTCCTCTAAAAGCCCTCACATTCCCTCCCTACCCGACTGCAATTACACCCAATACCACAGAGCAACTGTCTGACCATGTTTATAAAAAAACACAAGTCATGTCAGCGTCACAGACACCCTAAATACAGCAGCTGTTGCTGAGACACATCAGTTTTATAGCCTCCCACAGTAGCACTCTGAATAATTAACTGGAATCCATAAACAAACCAGAATCATGACACTTCTTCACCGACTGATTCATGTCACACTTGTTGCTGGTTTGGGATTATCTCGAATGATGTCCCAATCAGAAAAGGACATCCTCTTGTTTATTTCCAATCTGTAACTTTTAGGACTCGGATTATGCAACTAAAAAACACCCTCATGGGATTTACTGTGCGGTTTAGACAGAGGTTAGACTGGGTTAGCTAGCTTGGAAGTGAGGATCAACTTTTGAAATGTCTGCCTGTAACTTTTCGCCCCTAAAATAAAGTTTAAACAGCTGTTCTTTGAACCATACACCCTTCATTATCTCTCTGGTAGAGCCGTAATCACCTCTACCATGCTGTTGTATTTAAGACAATATCAATTAGCATTTAAAATAAGTTAGATAGTGAATTTAAATCAGCTCATTTACGTGGTATCGTTAGTCAACAGCTTGTTTAGGTGAGTTCTGACTGGCCATGATTTAAAGCCCTGGTAGGAAACTTTAGTCTGTGTTGAATTTGGTGCCCCCTTTTGGACAAATGGGTGTCTGTGCATGCAGAGGTAGTGTCCTCTAATAAATATCTTGTTATCATTTTACTGTAAATTTAAAACCAGCTTTTTTTGGCAGCTTGCAGTTAATTAAATTATCTTACACCTACCCATGTTAGTAATTTTTTGACATCAAAAATACTACTGTAGACAGAATCAACCTCATCCCTGTCGCTATGCTTTGCCTTTGTTAGCCATCAAGAGGCATCAATATTAATGCCAGTCTGTTTCATAGCAAGATAAAAACTCCTCACAGCAGCTTTAACACAAAAAAAGTGACAGATTTTTTTTTTCTTTTTTTCTGTTTGTTTGGTCCATTTTATCCCAAAATTGACATCTAAGTCCCAAACTAGGAGTACTTAAATCTTTAATTACCTCACACTCATTTTCCTCAGTAGATGCAGATTCTCTTTAGGATTTCGTGGGATTGTAGTTTTTCCTTAAGGTTTTTTCGTTCTTGTCCAGTTTGGCTTAAAAATCTGCATCATTTGATACTGGCACAAGAAACTGATCGGAAGTCTAAAAGTTGTGTGAGGAGGTTCTTTGTTATATTTTTATCATATAAATATTAATGCAGTATAACAATGTAGCTGAGAGGAACAAACGGTAGTATTAGTAGTATTGTATGTTAAAGCTTGTCAGTGAATATGATTTATAGACAATATATATAAAAAATTTAAAAAAAAACAACCATGACTGTAATTGCCTGTCTGATCATATTAACAAAAATGAAAAAACAAACGAAAAATATATTCTATATATGTAATTAGAATTAATGTAGTGGGCATGTGTACAGCAAGAATCAGCTTTTATAGTGAACTGACAGCTGATCAGTGATTGTCAGCTGTCACTGTTATGAAAAAGGTCAAATGGACATTATGTGACCCTCCAGTTTCTCCAGACTTCTGGTTTTTCAAAAAAATGTGTCCTGTCTCCTTAAACATATCCCTTATTTTATATGTTCTTGAATCTGTCCATGCATCTTTGGTGGGAGAGAACATGACACAAGGAAAAGATGCATCTGAAGGATTCATATATGCAATTGCTGAGAGCTGGAGCATGCATTATGTGAAACAGCAGTGCTGCAAAGAAAACGTGACTTTTTTGATGCTGTTTGTCATCCCCCTCTGTGCAAATGAAACACAAATGCACCAAATCTCCAAAAGTAGAGTGAGTGACATGTTTGTCTGCCTGTTTTCCAGACAGAAGTATCAGATTAGTACATCGTTATTCAGAAGAAACTAAAAATAACTGTTTTTTTTTTCTGTTCTGGTTTTGCTTTTCTTCCAGTGAGGAATCTGTTCAAGTGTTTATACACGTCCATACAATCGTCGATGAGTGGTTTCAATAGAGCACAAACCAAATGCCTGGAAACATTTAGTCACCACTGACCATGGCGCCCCCTCCTCAAATTGAGACTTCCAAGGACTCACATTCATATGTGTCTGTGTGGGAGTGTGTGTGTGTGTCTTCATCGTTTAACAAGCAGACTTCTGGTAAATGGGTTATAACCAGAACAGTAACCAGAGGCCTTTTGTGTTGCTGAAGGTTAGTCATGGTTGCTAAGGCATTGGAAAAAACCACAAAGCCTGCATTTTCACTATCTGACACACACACACTTGTAGCTAATTCTCCTGCAGCCTGAGCAGCCAAGACTCACAACCCAGCACAGCATTTGAAGAGGAGACAGATGGAGTTATAAATCTCCCCCTTTCTCTCTGAGATAATTGGCTATATGTCCTGGTGTTCCTCTCTGTTCCACTGAATCTGTACTGTGCGATGTGTTGAGTAAGCCTCTCAAGTGTTTTATGTGCTGCTACATGCTGATGAAGCACGGCGAGCACAATTACAACAAGATCTGTAGTTTCTGTTTTTACCCCGAGTAATCTGACGTGTCAAAGCTCACCTGATGACTCAGTGTGAGCGGTCAAGTCTTGACAGATCACAGTAGCAAACAAAGACGCATGTTTATTACTTTTGCATTGGAATGATCAGCGGGTGGTGGCGCAAGGTAGAGATTTCATGCATATTGTTTTTTTTACCAGTTTTTCAAAGTAGAAGTCAACATCTACCCTTGTGAAAAACACAGTCAGAAGGGTTCAGGTGTATTTCACTGTAACATGTCACAGTTCTCAGACTCACATTTTATCTGAAGAAATAAAAAAGTGAAAGATCAGAGCAGCTCTCCTGAACAAAAATCAACCTCAATCCACAAGCAAGAGTCAAAGTCAGCCAACCCTGTGTTTATTAGTTATTAACTATTTTGACTAGTTGCCTATGGCCTACAGCACCGTCTAGTGGTCAAAGTCACAAGCTAGTCAGTCAACTTTGGTCCACTGTGTTGTTTTTTTGGAGTCAAAAAAAGGCCAATCTTCTATCTTGATAATCTTAAAAGTGATGAAGTGAATTACATGAAGGAGCCAGCTTAGAGAGTTCAAGACTCTCATGTCGCATCAAAACTGATGGTTACAAGATGAAATGTAGCTTGTATATGTTTCTAAAAGGGAAGTATATGTTATAGGTCTGGGTTATTTATGGTGAGGTTCAAAGTCCCTGTGCAGACATGCATGCTCGGCACAATTTCTTACTCCATAGAAGCATTTATGTATTTTGTGGTTTCACTTTTCAAAGTCCACAGCCTTATTAAGAGTGTGTATTAGGAGTGTGTGAGTGAATGTCACTGGAAATCGATGATGGCACATCTGGTTGTGTTTAGGTCTGGTCTGTGGCGGCAGACTGCTGGAGACGAGGAGGAGGAGGAGAGCTCTGCTCTTCAATTTAGGACTGTTCCCACAGAGCACCTCAGGCTAACAAATCATAAGAGTCTGTCTGTCGGCGTTTCAGCGTGCATGTGTGTGTTCCTATGTGCAGTAAATTCTGACGGGTTGCACTGTTTGTGCTCCTGCAGTTACGTTAAATTGTTTGCAGTAGCTTGAATTGTTAATGTATAATTACCCACTGCGAGAAATAAACACGAACACACACTCTTCACACTGCAGAGTGAAAGCTTTCTATTCATAACATGTTGGAAAACAAATGTGAGTGTACACCTCTCTCCACATTTGTGTATTTTAGTACATTTTGAACCAGGACATACTTCTGCCATCTGCCTCGATGTTTACGGAGCTGCTTCCTGATAGCTGTCCACATCCTGTGACCCCCAAGTGTTTATGGACACAAATAGAGTTTAATTAAACCCTCGCATTATGCAACAGCGGTGGGTTCATCTCCAGGTCTCAGAGAGGGAAAGACGGACAGAAAAATTCAAGAAAAGAGAAGAAGTACAAGAAATTGTAAACTGAAGTGTAGACAAAAGAAGATGAAGATGAGGAGAAAAGATTGAGTTATACCCCATTTGATGGCTGTGATGTTCAGAGGAGTATGCAAGGTGGGAAAAGTCTCAATTAAAGGGTCAGCAATGAAATATGAGGGGATATTTTATCCTGCAGAGACTTAAAGGACAGGGCACAGACTAATTATTAGCTACAGGGTTGACTTTCAATTAGAAGTGATGGAGTAGAGTGGGTTCCCTTGTCTGAGGGCTCTTGGTGTGCAGAGCCATAAACATGAAATAACCAGCCAGCCTCTAAAACTGCACCGAGTCCCTCCTGATTCAATGCAACAGTGACAGAGAAGACACATGCTGACCTTCAGCTTTGTATGTTTGTCTTTTCTGTTTCACAGATCGGTTGTGTTCTCATCATTTTCTCATGATCTGAAAGTTATTAGCAGGCACTCAAAACTTGATTTAGATTTAATCCGGCTTTCTGATCATCAACTCTCCCACGAGTTTTGTCTTTGTCACAATGCTTGAGAAAACTGTTAAAATAAATCCTCAAACAGACAAGTAGACAATGGTGTTTACTGAGACTCAAATTAATACAGACCTGATGTTCAGTGGGAAAAACACAATTTTATTGCATGCGTGGTCCTAATTTCCCTATCCTCCTGTGTTTTCTGTATTCAGTGTCCTCTTAGTGTGGTGCAAAAAAGACCACTCGGAGGAGCTACTGGTGTAATGCTATAATGATCAGATTAAAAACAAAAACAGATGACAAATGGCATTTTGACACAGTTTGGCAGTATTCCCATCGAGATAGTGGAAATAAAGTTGTGTGTAGGTTACGTCAGGTTAAACTGGCATTTTACCTCTCGATTAGAGCAACTGACCTGCAGAGCAGCAAGGTCTGCTGGTGCTGGCTCTGCTAGTGTTAGCCACACTCTGAAAACCATGAAACATTTAGACAGAGCATAGAGAGTGGGAAGCAACATGTGGAAAAGGGGCTGCAGGCTGGAATCAGACCTGGGGCCTGTTCTACGAAGCAGGATTACTGCTTAGCAAGGTAACTTTGAGGATAAGTTCGGGGTTTCCTGTTCTACGACGCGGGTTCACCTCTTAGCGAGGCGAGTCTCCATAGCAACATACGCTGAACGGCTAAACTGCTCCGGGGCAGGTTAAGTTCCAGATTGAACTCACCGAGTATAAAAACCCCGCCCACTGACCAATGAGCTCTCTCGAAAAACGGCTTGTCCGTTCTTGGAGGATCCTGTAGACCTCGGTGCTCGCAATGTCCGAGGAGGAGCACTCCGGCTCCCGAGAGTTTTCAGGGAGAGTTTTCTCCGGATGACCACCTTTATGAAAGGCTTATATGGCCGACATATTACACAAAACATGTAAACACGATAGGAATGAACAAATGAATGATTCATCTTGGGAATGAATGGGCATGGGCTGTGCGATCACAGACAACATCTCGGTACTATTTAGTAGCAGCGCACGCCCCTTATAATAACGCAGTAAATACTGTTGTTCAGGACTGCTTACTTGTGCCTCCTACCCACTGTAACAACCTTTGTTCTTGCCCACATGCAACATTCTTGTTCTCATTCATGAAACGCTTAAATCAGGGACATTTTCGGGGACAGCTTTATCCGGGGACAGATCATCCAATTCGGGGACTGTCACCTTAGTTAAAAGCGCATGTTGAACAGCGCTATTTCAGGGTGATAATGGCATCAAAGATTACTTTTCTGCCAGCATTCCCTCCGTGCTTTTGTAGCGGCGACGGTGTTGCTTTTGAGGTTTATGATAGCTTTCAATTCTTCATACTTTCTCATGATCGTCTCCTGTTCCTCGTTTGTAAAGTCCGCGGTCCTTCACTCTCCAGCCTGCTCTGACGCTCCAGACTGATCCATGTTCGCGATTGGTCAGATGCGGCGGGCTCCGCCTTATATCTGTGCACGCGCTCATAGCAGAGCTGGATCCACTTATGAGGTTGATAACCAGCGTCGTAAAACCGTGTAGCGAGACCGCTGGCTACCGCGCTAAGTTGAGCGAGGTAGCTCCAAGCCTACCTCGCTAAGTTGAACCTGCTTCGTAGAACAGGCCCCTGCTGTCTGGACTGTAGCCACTTTACACAGGGGAGCACAGCTTAGCCAAAGTGTCACTCTGTTGCCCCTAGTTTTGATGGTTCTTTGGCTGTTATCTCAACTTTGGACAAGTCAGTTAGTCGGTATAATTCTCTGCTCGGACAACTTTGAGATTAAGTGTTTCAGAAGAACTGCCAAACAAAGGTCAAGGGCTACATGATTAATCAATTTTAAATCATTATTTGATTATGACGATGTAAAGAAGATCAAAATCGTCAAACCAATATTCCTCTCTATCAGGCTTCCAGAATCAGCGGTGTTTCAGGTGACTGTAAACTGTACTTTTTGAAAACAGGTACGAGAGTGCTTAAATCGGTAAACAAAAACAACCTTTATATGAATACTTTTTATTCTTCTTCTGTCTTTTGTGCATTTCCTGGGCAGCGTTACAGTGCCACTTACTGGCTTGGCATATGCACTACATTGTTTTCAGTGGTTTAGTTTGAAGAGATGATAGGAAAACTTTTTATCAGTGAAGTTTGGTGAAGTTGTCACTAAATAAATGATTAAAATCAAAAATTGAGTTTTCAGAGGAAAAAATCTGGATTCTATTTTTGGCCAAAATCATGCAGCCCTAGGTCAAAGCTTTCTCTTTAATACCTTACTATATGGGATGGTCCAGTTTAGTGGTAGTTTGTAGAGTTGGTCTTTTGTAGGTTGGAAAGTTTTCTGTTCAATCCCAGCTCGTGCAGGGTTGGCTGGGTTAGGAGTGAAGGAGTACAAAGAGAGGAGTCCGGTAACGGTCAGTGGTTATATCACTGCAACACGTGTGAGGACATTTCTTTAACACAAACACAATAAGACAAGCACCTGCTTGGGATTAATGTTCCAGTATATTACCTGCTGTGTTCACACTCTGGTTCATTCGATACCTGGTTGAGGCCCCCCTTTTATGTAACAGGTGGAAACTATTGAGCTTTTTCACAATATTCTTGTTTGTTGAGATGCACCTGTATGTCAGGCTAACAACATCATGTTTTAACAATCTTTCATCCTCACTACATCATAACCATCCATTAAAGAAAAATAGTGGTCAACTATGAAAGCCTCCTCACTTCACACCCTTAAGTGACCAGCCAGACTGGGCAGACACAACTTTAGACGAATTGTTCTGGTACCTTTTTCTGAATTTCATACTCTTAACTGGAAGGCTGGGGAGAAAAGGTTGAGTAAAAGGGATATTTCGGGGTACATTAAAGTTATGGTCAAACACGCCGTAACACCAAGTTAGACACCCCCTCGAGAGATGAGTGTTGACGACTGCTTGCTTCTCTAGTTATACCAACTTCAGCAATGACCGCATGATAGAAATACACAGCGGTCTACGTCACCATGTACAAACCTCAACCAAATAGCCACTTGTAGCCACAAATAATGCTCAGAACAGCACCTAACTTCATCAACAGTACATATAGGGTCCCAACCATAGTACGAGCCATCAAACATCTTTTTAGCTTTGCCTGGTTTCTTTAGCAAAGAGACCAAACACAACTCACCCACTCTCCTCCAGCAGCCACTTGTGGGGGAGCCCTGACGAGTCGGTCACCGAGTGCAGTGGAAAATGTATGATTATTTCTTCATAGAAATGCAATTAAACCTAGACGCTAAGGCAGAGGAACTACTGTGTGTGCAGTCCACGTACAAGATACGCAAGAACTCTGATTGCATTTCCATGAAGTAAATGTTCTAAATGTTCTTCCTTGAGCTGCGAAACTCCACTGCACTCTGTGATCAACTTGAAGTCTTGAGAAACAGATAGAGACTTTTGTATTCACTGATAATCCCACTTGGACAGTGTTAGGAAATGTTCAGGGGTGAATTCTTGTGTGAAAGAGGCTTTTATAGAGAGGGATAATATCCAAGTTAGTGTTGTCATTATAGTCTGTATATAGAATGGACAGCGTCTGCCTCCTTGCTGTGTGAAGCCACTCTGAGAACAGCGCCCCTCTGTTGATGGGCTGCAGTATAGGTCATAAATCCTGCCTTCGCCAACAAAGCTAATGGAGCTGTGGACAAACTTTAGAAATTTATTACACAGGACATAAATTTTTCTCCCCCCTGCTTGTGATGTTGACATGTCATCACAGCATCACAGCAACTCTCGACGACTCTCCCGCCGAATGTGCACAATGTTACTGCGCAGTGTTGGTTTCAGGAAATGAAGAAAAATCCCGGAAATACAGAGAGCTTTTTGGCTTCAAATCCATATACAGGCGGGAGGCGGAACCAAGTTGTTTATAGTGTATAGAGTCTATAGTTGTCACTTAACGCAGCTTCTAGCATACAGTAAACATGTAATCTTACAATTCTAAGGGAAGATCAAACAGGTTGAAGGCGCTTACCTCTCATTTTACACTTGTTTTTACCAGCAAATCTGACAACACTCTTTTGTGTTACCTGACATGACTACATGTTGTGTATTTCTCTTGTTTTTATCCCTTGAATGCATCAAGTCATGAATCCTTTTTGTCTTTTTCAGAGTGAAGAATTCCACATTTACACTCAGTACTGCACCAACTACCCACGGTAAGACGCTCTCATTCATTTGACTGTATAAAAACCGTCACCCTGTTGTCATTGTCATCTAATCTTGATCTCATCTCCACACACCGTCTTCCCAGAGTCTCACATATCTCTATTGTGCATGCGGATCAATGCCTTACCCTTTTTTTCCTCGCCCTGATAAACTGACGCGCTCCATAGAAGGTGCTTCAGCAGGAGTCAAAGTGTCTACCTTCAGTTATGCCTCAGGGTCTAACTCCCTCGCTCCTGAGTGCCCCATTTTTTATCCTGCTTTTCTTTTATTTGCGGTGTATTGACAGAGTAACAGCTCACCCACTGACAGATGGGGTATTATAGGTGTCATCTTATCACAGCTAACACTGTTAATGTTTTATTAAGCTGGGCGAGTGCAGGCCCCTCGGGACGCTTATGTGGATCACCAGGGAGGAGTTTCGTGGAGTTTTTTGTTTGTCAGTGTGTGTACTGTGTGAGATTTAATGGGCTGAAACCGGAGCCTTTTCTTGATGCCAAGATAAACTGCACCTACCAAACACACCTTCTCCCCCAGCTACCATTTTTCAGTCAAAGTGTGTGATAAGAAAGGCACGTGGGGAACAAAACACACCATTCACTAATTGAATGCTGATTGTGCGTGTGTATGTGTGTTTGTGAGTGTGTGTCTGTAAAGGGGCTATTGTCAGCTGTTTGAGATAGACCGTCTCCCACATCCACACCACAGCTGGTGACCCCCTACCAAGGTCACACACGACAGACACACACCAACGTACACATATGACACACAAATACACACACACACACACACACACACATACAGGCTGCAGATGTATCATGGTCATGCTGGGCTCCAGGGTCGGGTTTCCTCCAGAACAATGTGAGGCCTGTGTGGAGCTTTGCTGGAATTCAGACATGCAGACATGCACATGCATGCGCTCACACACTCACACACACATAAATAGACTAAAAGCAAGTTTTGGGCAACTGTCATTTTTTCCTCTCTATCTGTATGCATGGACACACACACACACACACAGCCTACACTTGTTGGTGAAAAAGGCTCTTTCTTCCACGGTAGGTCAATAAGTACAGCAGCTCCAGTTACCAGCAGATCTGACTCCTCTGGTGTAATATGTACCAATAATCAATTTATGTTGTCTAGCAAGAAAAAATAAGAAATCTGTGTTTGACCAATAAGCAATCAATGGACCTTGAGTTCAGTGGCACTGAAAGTAACAAGATAACAAGGACATTGTAATTCAGCATAAATAATATCACATGCACTGACTTCCACTGAAAGCCGATTAAGTATGACGCGGCTGCACATTTTGACAAACAGAGGCAGGTCTCAGCTAGAAACCCATGTAAATAATTATCAGGCTGTCTGTGTAATGATGAAACACCTAATTATTTTACTTCCACCGAAACACATGATGTCATATTTACTAATTGCCATAGCAGCATGGTGAAAACAGAGGGACGTGAATACAGTCAGGCTGTCAAGTTTGCTCAACAAAAGCTGCAAGAAGAGATTTCTGCATTTAACAAAGTGAGAGGAAACATAAAGCTGAACTTGGAGAGTCAAAAATCTGACAGTGGAGTAGTAGAGGAGGAGGGTTAACGGTCCACAGTATGCAACAGTGAATACAGCTGGTGTTAAAGTCTCCTAGAAGTTGATCAGGAAGAAGGTTGTAGTGATGTATGCCTCAGCTTTCTGAGCTCTTCTACTAATTAATTGATCATTTATTCCTACAAGCTGTTCTTTTAACCGTTTTCATTCAGCTGCATAACTTACACTCTTCTAGAAGTAGCTTACACTTCAAATAAAAGCATTTTTTACAGTGTAGGAAACCAGGCAATTTAAGATTAAGACAGAAAATAGAAAGGATGTAAAACAATCTTTCCATGAAGAAGAAGTTTCCCTTACAAGGACAGTAATGTGGATAAATCAAAGATTTTAACATAATTAGAATTTAATGATGATATGCAAGTTAAATGTGAGTATTAAGAAAATATATGGACTTGTAATATTTAGAATCATGTACTTTATCTTGTTCCATTAGCGTCTTACTAAATAGATTTTAACAAAAAGCATATAGAAGGTTAAATATGCTAAGAAGATGCCTAAAGTTCACTAAAAACTGTTATACTTTCTGTAAAACAGGGTGTTTTTTTCTCTGTCAGTATTGTATAGGCTGTCTGCACATGCATCACAGCTCCTATTTGTCATTACTGTCAAATTATAGTTTACTACAAAGCCCTGATATCTTATTTGCTCTGTTTTGTCTCCACAGGTCGGTGGCTGTGCTAACAGAATGCATGAGGAACAAGGTGTTGGCCAAGTTTTTCCGCGAGCGCCAGGAATCTCTGCGGCACTCCTTGCCCCTGGGCTCCTACCTGCTCAAGCCGGTGCAGAGGATCCTCAAGTACCACCTACTGCTGCATGTACGTTTGTCTGCGTTGTCTTGTTTAAACACATGCATACAATCACTCTTTGCCTACAGAAATGCTAGAACGAGCACAAACATGTCAGCAGGCAGTAATGTTTTATCTATGGCCATACAAATGAATGGTGCTACGGTTAAGTAACAGCATTTCTGGATCAGCTCCCAGTGACAGTCTCCACTGGAGAGGCCAAATGTTTGGACATATGGTACTCAGTATGCATCTTCCTGTATAGGCACACCGCTCGCATGCATTGTATGCATAAGCTCATATGCAAAAATACACACCTGGAAGTGAAGCCCTTTCATGAACATGCATGCACATAGTGTGTAAGTGCACATGCAAGCAGAATGTGCAAATACTTACTCTGAGTGTTTGTGTGTGTCTGTGCAGGAGATAGCCAACCACATGGAGAAGGACACAGAGACGTACGAGGTTGTGCAGGAAGCCATAGAAACCATGCAGAGAGTGGCCTGGCACATCAACGACATGAAGAGGAAACACGAGCATGCTGTTAGATTACAGGTACAAAAAGCACGAAAAAGGTGATAGATAAACAGATGCCAAATTACGCAGTCATGTCCGGTACATGACTACCTAAATCAGACACAGACTTTCAAGGCTTCCAAGGAGCCGATACCTCATATTTCTGCAGAAAAGCTACGTGAAGTCTAAGTTTCAATCGGCTGATGCACTGATCCTCCCCACATCTTACGCAAGTCACTATGTTTTCCGCCGGGCTAATGATGGCCTTGCATAAGGGAGACACATAAAAGAGAGACTTGTTTCTTTTATCAGCTGGGAGCCAGGAGGGGTCAAGTGAATTCAGGAATGTGTGTGGAAACGTTTACTGTCAGAGTCTGGAAAAAAAGGATGGGCGAGATTAAGAAGAAAATACTTTTTTCATCCTTTTTCTGGAGCCCTTTTCTCAGACATATTTCCTACTTTACAGTTACTTCCCTATAACCTTTTGTCTTTTACTATCATGGCTTACTGTTTCTTCTTAAATCACTAGAAACATAAAATGTTATCTAACTCAGTGCTTCAAGTGGAAAAACAATTAGTTCTGGTATCATACTGCCAGTGACAGTAAATCCTGCAGCTGTTGAAGATACTAGAAGATGATGCCGATTTTTAAAACATATATTTACTGAAAAAACTACTTCAGTGTGCCAGTCTGAAAAGAACTGTATGTACCACTGTATCACCATGCTCCAATCTAATTTCCATTGGGTTTTATAAACTATATTCAGTAGTATTAGCGTGGGATGCAGAGACATCATCAGGCCTTCACTTTACAGATATGGATAAGACATAAGGAGTTAGCTGTAAATGTAGTGATAAATTAAGAAATAAAATCATTTAAGAGGTAAGATAAATTTAGACCTGTATCATCATCATTCAGCCCTGCTTTGGTTCATGTCCTCTTTGTGCCCTTTGAGGCCAGGCTAACGTTGCTGTCCCCTCTTTCCTTACTCAGATTTTTTTCCACTTTTGTCCATTACTGTAGGGGCTCTTTAGTTTGTCAGTTTGCTGTTGTTTTGTTTTGCATAAACAAGACAAGTACACGTTAAATAACACCCTTTGTAATGTATTTTGGGTGCTGTAAATTGTAACACGAAGAAAACTGGAAAGAGAACAGAAAAATTATTCTGGTATGCCAAAGGGTTAGGTCTAAAAATGGTAGTACTGTAGGGGTACACCAAATACTGAGGCTGATATTGGCAAATTATTTGTCTGGGCCTTGTATTTTACAGATGTCAGATAAAGTCATTTAATTAAAAAGTACTCTACTTTGGCTCTGCAGCCAGTGTTTGTTTCCCTCTGGTTCTGTTTTTTTGCACCACTCTGTCTCACCTAATGTCCCGCCCACAACTCAACCCGATGGGCTAGAAGTCACACAGTTAGCTGTTTACTCCTATATATGATGCTTAACGTTATTTTTGAATTCACTCTCTGAAATTACTTTTTCTGAATCATTTTACCAACATTTCATGGTAGATTGTTAATTTATATTAGTGAAGCTCTATATTAATGAGGTGAAGGATCATTGTTATGCGCCAAATTTTTCAAGTCTCTCTTTAGTTTGCAATTGTTTTTCCATTTTTTACAAATTCTCTGTGTTTTGTGGGTTTTCTGTAGGAGATCCAGAGCTTGCTGACTAACTGGAAAGGCCCGGATCTAATTGGATACGGAGAGCTGGTTCTTGAAGGAACATTTCGTCTACAGCGAGCTAAAAACGAGAGAACTCTCTTCCTGTTTGACAAGCTGCTGCTCATTACCAAGAAAAGAGAGGAAACCTACACGTACAAGGCTCACATACTGGTCAGTGATGACACTAGAAGCCTAATAAAAAACATAAAAAACCTACAGACACTACAGTCACAAATTTCAGCTCAGCAGGTTAACAAAACCTTTCACCTTTTTTTTTTTTTGCAGTGCTGCAACCTGATGCTGGTGGAGGTAATTCCCAAGGAGCCGCTGAGTTTCAGCGTGTTTCACTACAAAAACCCCAAACTCCAGCACACAGTCCAGGTACAGCATCATTACATAAGAGGATCCTCATCGTGACCAAAGTCTCCGTCAGTGTTCAAACATGTTTTGCTTGAACTTTGCAGCAGCATTATTAAGAAAGACTTCAAACAAGTGTGATGATTATACGCAGGTGTCTGATTGTTTTCTCAAGGGTCCAGGCTCACCTAAGGGAATTGTTGAGACTTGTCGAGGCTAATGCTAGCATTGTTACCTAACCACTGTGCTTTGTATAAGTGCTAAAATATAAAAGATAATGGCTGTGATGTAAGAAAACTATGTTCTACATTTCTGAAGGTTCAACCAGACCCTCTAATCTTCTGTTTTTAAAGTGTAAGTCTGATATAGTCTCATCCTTGATGTTTTGTTCGATAATCTGTCCTCAGGCTAAATCCCAGCAAGACAAGCGCATGTGGATCCTACACCTCAAGAGACTTATACTTGAAAACCATCCTGCTAAAATCCCAGCCAAGGTAGGATCCCATCGCCACCTGACATTTCACTCCTCTGCTCTCTGATGGTGCAAACACACTTTGAGTAGGATGTCTCTGAAATATCACTCCCTATCACCCACTTTGTTCTTGCTCCATGTTCAGTTTTCCTCTCCTGACTTTCTTCTTTCCGCTGTCTCTTCCAATTACTCATTTTCTATGTATCACTTTTCTGTTTCTTTACACATCTTCAAACATAAGAGTAAAAACTTGTTTGCAGGGGTAAAGATCACATGGGTGACCATATGTTCTCTTTTACCCGGACATGTCCTCTTTTGGGGGGCTGTCTGGGCTGTCTGGCCTTGTCTGGCCTTGTCCAGGGAAGTTTATGAAATCCTTTGAATGTCTGGGGTTTTGTATGGTAGTTTTTGTTGCTGGGTTAGAAGCACATAAAAAACATTCAACCTGAGAAACTCTCAAAATTTACTACATGCGACTCCGTGGCTCCATCCCCGCGTAGTCGTGTCCTCTTTTGGGGGATTCAGAATATGGTTACCCTAATGTGGAAAGTTCAAATGATAACATGAAGAGGTTTTTACTTCTCACCAGATCTGCACTCTACAGTCAATCGTGTACACAGCAAATCTGATGGAAAAGGGGCGCCATCTAGTGTCAAAACATGTGCTCAACTGTGATTCAAGTTAAATCAAGTTAAATTTACACTCTTTTTATCACTTTTATTCAAGGCAAAACAAGCAATTTTGGAGATGGATGCAATGCGTAAGTACCAATTTACATAACATGTTAGTGACTGAATAAATACTATCAATTATTTATACATAGTATATCTTCTGTATGTGTAGGAAATAATTGGATATATTCTGTTTATCCTAACCCTCATTAAACACTCATGGTTTCTCTTTTCTGTCACATCAACAGACCATCCTGGGTTTCATTTCAGTCCTGATGGGGATAAGAAGGATTCCCCTCAAACAAAGGAGGGTCCTACCCCTCGAAGAGGTCGCAGGAAAGGTAACAAATCAAAGATATCAAATATAACCTATCTAAGGGGGTTAAATTTTACAGCTTTGTCCCTAATTAATTCATTTACCTTTCTAGAGCCTCTGTCTAAATTGCTGAAAAATGCCAAGCAAAATGCTGCCAACACAGACGGTGATAAAGTGAGTACTTACACACGGATGAACATTTTTTAAATTTATTTGATATATATAAATATGTTATAAATTTACTTAATATTTTGTTTTGTTTTTTTTATCTACTTATTTATCAATTTTATTTTGTTTATTTATTATTATATTTTTTCTATTATTTTTCTTCTTTTTTCTATCATAAAAATAATTATATTATTTTATTATTGTAATTATTGCCATAAGGGGGAAAAGTGGGACAATTACACCAGCAAACACACACTTCTCAACACAAATAAAAACACCCACCCACATTTATTAAAACACAGTCTTGCAATATGTTCAAAGGTATTTGTTGTGTTTCTGTTTTACTTTGTCACTTTGATTTGTCTACATTGTCTGTTTGTTCTGCTTATATGTTGTCTGCTACATCTTGATCTGTCTTACATCACTTCATTAAAAATAAAAAATGCACAGAAGGATCTTGTGTTTTGGTAGAGGAGCATGAGTAACACGCTCTGACAGAACTTGTTTAGCTGATCTTTTTAAACCTTCCTCCTCTCCAGCGAACAAGTCTCGGTGCCACCCTGCTCTCACCGGTGTCCCAGCTGGCTTTGGGAACTATCGGTCGCAGCCGCAGCCTCATTAACCAATCACAGGAATCCCTCGACCCCGGGGATCACTATGACCACAGTGACAGGGAGGAGGAGCCACATCAACGAGATGCGGATGATGAAGACGATAGTGGCTTGGTGAGTTTAAAGGCACTAAATAAGTACAAAATTTAAACTTCATCTCTTGTGCTGCAAACTCTCTGTTAATGCCACAAACTGCACCGACAGGGAGGTGGAAAGCGGCTGCGAGTGCCAGGAAAAAGCAGTAGGAAGAGGCTTAACCCCCAGGCATCTGTTGATAGTATAGAGCAATGGAAAGCCTTCAACATGAGCCCTTCAGACTTACAGGTATTAAGTGCACTATGAACTTTTCTGCAACTTTGATTTGAGGCTATCTCAAGTACATCTGTGTAAAACGACAACTTCCATTTTTTGCACAGAGAGCCAGAGAGTCCCTCGTAAGAGAAGGAAGTCACCATCCTCCGCTTCTCAGATCACCTAATGTGACTGAGGAACCCCCAGACACCCCCATCCCCTCTGTCATAGTGACTGAAAGTGACAACTCTGTGAGGAACATCTGGGCTGACCACCGCGCTCGTAGGGCCATGTTCCCTACACGACAACGAACCATGCAGCCCGACGACGAGGACGAGGACATCTACCAGATGTTTGTCCCCACAGAGCAAAGTGCACCAGAACCAGAGGCGGCTCCAGAGAGGTCAGAGGCCACGTCTTCACCCAAGACGGCCCGACCTTGCAGCTGGCACGTGGAACAGGTTCCAACTGTGCAGATTGACCCTCCGCCCAGTGAGAGCAGAGTCCTGCGGAGGGCGAGCAGCGCAGGGGAGAAGGCTACTGAAGCTGGACAGAGCCCAGATGATGACCGGTCAGGGCACAGCAACTTAGAAGTGATCCACACGGAATCATCAAGCAATGACTTGTCAGGATCTTCCTCAGCCGAGCAGCTGACAATAGACGATATAGAAAACGTGTATGACAACATCAGCTATGAGGACCTTAAGAGCATGGGGCTTGTTAGAAGAGACCCTGAGGAAAGCCAGTCAGGGAAAGGAACTTCTACAGATGCACAGGGTTCCCAGGGGAAGGCAGCAAGGGTACTACATGAGCCAGAGTCCGTAGGGGTCATGGAGCCTATGATTGAGCCTGAGAGTTCCTCAGATAGCAACCGGTCTTCCACACAGGAGGCGAGGCCATTTGAGCTTAAGATAGTAGAGGAGAATATTTATGACACCATCTGTTTCAGGGAGCCTCCATCAACCAAGGTCAAAGGACTGAGCGAGGGGAACAAGGTGAAACAAGAAGGGGACAGTCTACTGGCATCTGAACATGACCTGACTGGAAGCCTTGGAGCTTTCATGTCTGAGGAGAGCCTCCACTTTGGAGAGGATGAAGGACATGACACCTCCCACCCTGTCACATGTTCCTCTGAGCCGGATTATTCCTCCTCATCTGCATCTGAGACTTTCTCTCAGCGCCCGCAGAAAGGGGATAAGATGTCCGAGCAGGTCGACGAGATCTGGAACGACCTGGAAAACTACATCAAGAACAACGAGAAGAAGGCTGATAAATTGCCTGCTGCCTTCCCTGTGGGTGCCAATGAGTCACCCAAGAAGGCTTCCTCAGTCAAAACCAGCCCTACAAAGACCCAGAGTCCTCAAGCAGCCAGTCCTCAAACAAAGAGTCCCCCAACACAATCGTCCAAACCCCCTTCTGTCACCTCCACACCGTCCTTTACCATCCCAGTCATCAACCTCCCTGACCAACAAAGTGAAGCCACCACAGCAGAAGAACAACACAGCCCTCCTCCCGCCTCACGGCCCCTCCCTGTCACCCCTGAGCCCCTCCCAGGCACAGTGAAGAACATCCGGAAAAGACTGGCACGCCTGAGCAGCGGCAGTTTCCGCCTTGAGGACGACGACCTGGTTGAGCTTCCTTCCAGAAAGGACATTCACAGCTTATTTCCAGGGGAGCTGGCAGGTCTGGACTCCCCCTTGGCCTCCTCATCCCTGCTGTTGGGTGAGTCCGTGGACTTCCCATTGGAACTGATGGACAAATCAAAGAGCAGAGTGTTCCTGATGGCACGGCAGTACAGCCAGAAGATCAAGAAAGCCAACCAGCTGCTGCGCATGAGGAGTATGGACCCTGGGGACTCATCTACTCGGGCCAGAGCTGAGAAGAGGCAGAAAGACCTGGCAGCTATTTTAGAAGAGAAGAAACAAGGAGGTGCAGCCATAGGTAACACAAAACACAAGACTCTCACAACTGTAGTTGTGTAACAAGCATGAAATATACAGCATGAACAAATGTGTTTTTTTCTCTGACGTTCTTCTCTCCTGTCTTCAGGTGCGAGGATAGCAGAGTACTCCCAGCTCTACGACCAGGTCATGTTTAAAGAGCCTCCTGGCACATCTGGTCAGACCTCTGTAACCCCCCACCACAGCCACCCAGGGCTGCCGTCCTCTCCATCCTTGCCTGAGACCTCTGCAGAAGAGGACTGGCTCCACTCCACCTACAGCAACGGGGAGCTGGTCAGCTTCGTCTCTTCATCCAGTGAGGGCGAAGACACTCGAATGTCTTCTACTCCCCATCGCAGACTTACCTCCTCCTGCTCCATCCCCTCCCTCAAGACATTACCTCCCTCTCCAACCACCCCGCCATCCCAGAGATGGAGTTCATGCATATCAGCACCAAGTGAAAAAGAGGAGCATGTGTACAGCACCATCAAGAGACATCCCTCCTTTAATGCTCCCTCTCTGCCCTCCTCCAAATCTTCCCCGTCGTCTGGTCACTGTCAGTCAGTCAGCTCTCAGGGCAGCCAACAGCAAGAGAAGATCAAATCTGGACTCAAGTGTAATGGACCCGCTGTGGACCGATCCACGGACAGACTCCATGGTCCAAGTCTTGGTCGTACTGGTCGGCAGAGCAGCCTCCCAGAGCGCTCCACCCAAGGACTTTCAGACCTCACTATACACGATGGTCAGCAGGTGGTAGTCCTGAACAGGGCCTCTGCACTGAGCATTCTCAATGCCACCCAGAACTACCTGGCTAACTTCAAGGACAACGAGGAAGACGACGATGACTATGTAGAGATTCGCTCCGATGACGAGAGCGAGAAGGAGCAGGGGAGACTGGCGAAGCAAAACTGCAACTCGACAGGCCTTTCCAATCAAACCCGGAGTCTCGCCCATTCCCAGAGTCTGCCATGTACGCCAGTGCGCTCCTGCGATCCACTGAGGTCTCTCGATCGGGAACAGCTGGAGAAATACCTGTGGAGCGAGCCACAGCAGAACCAACCCAAAATAGTCCAGTCTTTGAGGGACAAGTTTCAGTGTCTGAGCTCTAGCAGCTTTGCCTGAGTCTAAACGATCATTACAAGCCAAATATAGAGAAACACACAGCATATAGGAACACAAGGGACACTGCTGCTTTGCCTTGAATGCCCATCTGCACAAACGTCTCTCAGTGTAGATCAGGAGTCATTTCTTTGAATGCAGACATCTTTCGAACAACACTCTAACACCTTAACACTCTGTCACATGACTCGAATTCAAAAGTCCTGATAGTCCTTGTTAATAATAATCAAATCGCCACATCAGTTTGCATGTGAGCTGCCTTAGCACTTCCAGGTTCAAATAATTTTATTTATGTCTTCAAGGATATTGAGAAAGGACACATTAGCAAGAGTACCTGAATTTAAAATGGTCTCAGCCATTTGTAAATGCTGGTTTTAAATTTGGAGGGATTTCCACTTTTCAAATTCAAGCTTTTTCTGTAAGCTTGGACAGATAACTGGAGTCTTAGAGATCGATTCTGCAGGATCATTTGTGCAAACCAGCTGTTGCACAAATACATTACGGGATATTTGTTACTAATTGTAAGATCTCTTTGTGCCCAATCTGATTGTGCTCTCTTGGCAAGGAGCATTTCTTCGAGCTCTTTTCTTTTAACAGCATTTTCAGCACTAGTTAATCTTAACCTCTGAGGGAGCTGTTAGTGGCTACAGTTTTAAATGTGCTTACATTATCGAGCAGCTGTGAACAAGACGCATTTAAAGTCTGCAATCTTCTACACAGGCTAGACGGTCACTTTTATCTGCTTTTTATTGCGTTAAATGTAACAAAGGATAAAACTGTAAACAATATACATCGGCTATAACAAGATTTCCATAGGTTAAGTTGTAACTAGACTTTGAAGTCTTTTTGAAGTTGTTGTATTTCACTCTGCCTGACACCTCTGTAGGGTATCACGCTTTAAAATCAGGAGAAGATGCTTCTATTTAGAGAATTTATGTGGAACAGTAGGATTTCACACTTATTTTGAGTCTCAGTTAATATGTTATGATTTTATGTGATACTGTCAGGGTAAGGAGGGGCGTCCTTCATCCAGAGTGAAATGTGCATCTTTAAAGTCTAAAAAGTGGATTTTTTTTTTAAATCATTGTGGTTTTAACATTGTTTTTAAAAGGGACCAGGTAGGAGAGGAGTGAGGTCGGCTGGTTAAAAGCCTACAGTACTGTATTTGTTGTACATGATCTTAATTTTTTCCAAGTGGATTGTCGACAGTTTCTTTTCTTTGTTTACATTCTTGGACACCGTCACACTACTGATACTGCATCCACAGTCACAGGGAAAGTAGGATTGTTTTCAGTCACTTCAGTAAGGTTCATACTGCACAAAAGTTTGAACAAATGTAACACACACTTAAACACCACACTCTTCTTTTATTTTTTTCAAAAATCACATAAGTTCTCCTATTTATTTGAAAATATCACTTTTATTTTGACCGTTACCACCTTGAATCAAAGCCACCAACAATGTTAAATAAAGTCAAATGTATTTATTAAAAGAAGGGTTGGTTAAGGGAGGGAGACAAATTTGAATCAAATACTGTGAACATTTTCAGAAGTGGGTTTTTCATTTTTAATCACGCACTGCTTCTCACAAGTTTCAGGTCACCGCAACAAATGAAAAGTTGGAAAGAAAAAAAAAGCACAATACCGAGGTCTAGTGTTCATACCAGGAAATGTGCATCAAACCCAAGTCATAAATATGAAGTATGTTCTATTTTCATTGTTCGTTTTGTCCTCTGTTTCACTGATGGGGATTGTCAGTTTTGACCCTGTTTGCACTTTTCTGTCTTTTTTTTATTTTATTTTTTATTTGTAAACACTTTGTAAAGATGTACATTTTAGGAAAGTTATTCTTGTATGCCATAGGTATGCTTTATAATGCTTTAATGTTTAAGTTAAGTGTACTGTATTTTTTTTAACTGCCTAGTTGTCATTGCTCAACAAAACAATGTACTGGAGGTAATAAATTCAGATTAAACTCATTGCACTGTTTTTGTCTCTTTCATGCACAACATCACAACTGTACAAGAGGTCTGTCCTCTTAAAGACTACACAAGGACCAAGAAATATAAAAACAAAAAAATAACTTATTATTGTTATTATTGTTTGTATGCCTTGTAGAAAGCATTAGGGCACTGATAATAAAACCCTTAGTTAATTTAGATCAAAAATATCCATAGATTGTGACCAAGATGCAACTTGTGAGGGAAAAAAAAAAGATTTTAAATTTAAAATTAGATATGACAACAGTCATCAGGATTAGTATTCCTGTAGAACTGTAGTTTATCTGTCATAAGTCCTCAAATGTTTTATAATAGTTATAAATATCAGCTAATGAGGACAGAGGCTGGAGAGAGAAAAGTGGGACTGAATACCCAGGGTCCAAAAGGGTCCTTGATCTCTCTAAGATACCAACTTTTTAAATATAAAGAAGTTTCGTCTTGACTGTAAAGAATGTCAAAGGATATGAAATAGAGCAAAAAGGCTCTAACCAAAAAATATAATCACCTGGCGATTTTGCTTTAATCATGTTGGTGTTGCTTACTTGGATTCTTATCACACCAAGGTAAAACATGCCCCCAATTATAGAAAAAGCACGTGTTTGAATTACCATGATATTCTTAGAAGTCAATAAACCTTTACAAGTTTTACAATCACAATGATCAATGTTGTTGAACCAACTCCAACATAGTAACTAAGTCTGGGTTCAAATCCAAGCAGGGGGCTTCCCTTGCACAGCTAGAATGTCCTGGGCTTAGAGTGTGCTTTACTATGATGTACTGGAACGTCAATAAACCTGACCAGATTCCAATCCCAGCTGTTGTGGTTGAATTTGTCTCTAAATTTCCCAGATCTAAAGTTAATCAAGTATCTGCAGGATTTGGTGGACAACAAAATCATATTCAAGGAGGCCCACCTCACAACTGATACGGCCCAAAAGATTTGCCACTGCCACTTTAACCCTAACCACGCCATATTTTCAAGGGTCTAGTCCATGTCTCATCAGGTCAGGACTGTTTTGGCTTTAACCTGACAAGAGAGGGACCTACACAACACTTCACATGATTTAATAGATGTTTGGAATGAGCACATTGTGGGGTTTGGAGGTAGGTTCTATGGGGGTCCTACACAAAATGCAAATGTATGTTTTATTTAGTCAATACTGAGATGAACAAATTTTATGCAAAAGGAACAGCAAATAAAAAAAATAAGAGTTATAACGATTGAAATTATTTCTCACAATTAAAACGGAAATTATTAAATGTGTGGATGAAAGTCTGCCAAGATGAATTATAAACTCTAAGCCGGTAGATCGAAAGACAGTCCAAGAAGATAGTCAAGGTATTCGGTTATTGACCCAATTACATCTATATAGTATTCAAAATAGGAAATCAAAAACATTACAAGTTAATACACTGAGCAAAGGACTAAGAGAACGTGAGAGAGAATCTGCACATCTCTCAACCAAACAGATAGCGGCGCCACTACCACCCGCAACCGAAATTGCACACATATAATGATACAGGAAGAAGAAAATTAGGCATGCTGGGAAATGAAGTTTATAACGGATTTCACAAAATGTCATTTTCTGATGAGAAATGAAACGGTACTGATGCAAAAGTAGGCTAAATCTCCAATGTTGTAATTCTTCGCATATCTGTTGGACCGCTTCTTTAATTCCCCGGGTTCTTTTTAAAGACAATTTCTTCTCGAAGCTTCTGCTCAGTGCCGGTTTACCCATAATGCACCTCGCCGCATCCTTTCTTCTTGGTTGTGTGGTGGTCCAAAAATGTCGCTACTTGACGGTCCGTTAAATGTGCTCGGCCAGAGGACGACTGGCGAATCTGTTCGCACTCAGAATGGTGAGTTTTAATAGTGACAGACTTAATTTTTCATTTAAGCCTCGTATATTTTTCCTGCGCCTCGTCACACCGACGGGAGAACTGATTACATTTACTGCCTGCAGCACACGTGTGGCTAATGCTAGAGCTAGCCTACTTCATATGAGCCTCATGTGATCTATCCTATAAAGTAAAGTGAAGTCTGCTCTATTTTACAAGCTGGCTATATTATGTGAACAATATTTAATTGTAAATGCTACATCCCGTATTAGTACCTTCCACTCTTTTACAATTGAATGGGAGGCTATGCTAACGGGATAGAAAGACACTGTCATGTCTGAGGGTGTGGCTAACTCACTGTGTACCTCACTAAATAAAATGACAGGACATGTCAATGATGGAGAGGTGTCTAATAATGTCATACTGTACAAACAGGTTAGTTGAGCTTTCTTCTTTTTGCAGTCATGGCTGCAGCATCCATCGCGAACATCGTCAAGAGCTCCCTCGGACCTGTGGGTCTCGACAAGATGCTGGTGGATGACATCGGGGTGTGTGTCACATTCATATGTTTCCTTATCAGCCTAAATATCCCCAGTACTTAAAGATTAGGCCTGATTTTCTTATCTGTCTTATGGATTTGTTGGTAGGATGTGACCATCACCAACGATGGAGCGACCATCCTGAAGCTGCTGGAAGTGGAGCACCCGGCTGCTAAGGTCCTGTGTGAACTGGCTGATCTGCAGGACAAGGAGGTCGGGGATGGGACCACGTCTGTGGTGAGTGGGGTCAACAGCTGCTCCTGAGAGGTTTTAAGACATCAGTGTAGTGTCAGCTCCCTATAATCTCACTAGATTCACGTGTATTGTCATTGTGCGACACAGCAGAACAGTGACAAAGAGCAAAATATATGATAAAAATTAACATAATTTTATTTAGGGTAAAAGAAGATTCGTCAAAAATCAAAGGGATATTCCGGTGAAAAATTAATTTATGGTCAAAGCCACTGTAACACTGAGTGAGACACCCCCTTTGGAGATGAACATTGTCGACTGCTCGCTTCTCTAGTTATACCAACTTCAGCAACAATCGCACAATAGCAATACACAGCAGTCTACGTCTCCACGTGCAAACCTCAACCAAAACGCCACTCAATAGCCACAAATAATGCTCAGAACAGCACCTAACTTAATCAACAGTACATATACGTTGCCAGCCAGAGTACTAGCCATCAAACATCTTTTTAGCTTTGCTTGATTTCTTTAGCAAAGAGACTAAACACAACTCACCCACTCTCCTTCAGCAGCTGCTTGTTTGTTGTGAGACCTCGGGCCAGTCCATTACGAACTACAGCGGGGTGACGCAGCTCAAGGAAGAACATTTATGATCATTTTTTCGTGGAAATGCAATCAGATCGTGATGCTGAGGCAGAAAAACTACCATGTGTGCAGTGCAAAATGATTAAAATGGCGATCGTTACTTCAAGGAAATGATAAAGAAATGATCATAAATGTTCTCCCATGAGCTGCGTCACCCCGCAGCAGTTCGTAATTGTCTGGCCTGAGGTCTTGCTACAAACTAGCAGCTGCTAGAAGAGAGTAGGTGAGTTGTGTTTAGTCTCTTTGCTAAAGAAATCAGGCAAAGTAAAAAAGATGTGTAGTGGCTAGTACTATGGCTAGGACTCTATATGTGCTGTTGATGACGTTAGGTGCTGTTCTGAGCATTATTTGTGGCTATAGAGTGGCTTTTTGATTGAGGTTTGTTTATGGCTCCTTAGACTGCTGTGTATTGCTATCGTGTGGTCGTTACTAAAGTTGGAATAACTAGAGAAGCAAGCAGTTGGAAAAATTCATCTCTCAAGGGGGTGTCTAACTTGGTGTTACAGTGAGTTTGACTCTAAATTAATTTTACGCCGGAATTTTTTTTTAATGGCTGTAAGTTATAAAAAGTAGAAGTACAGGAACACTTTTAATATAATAATTTAAATCAGTAACTTTGACTAAATTGCTAAAAGTGATGTCCTGTTTTAGCACCATGTGTCTGCCATGAATTACAGACATGTGGCTATGTTAACAGGAGAGAGAAACTGTCCATTAATATCTGAAGGGGTTGTGCAGCCATATTCCTGACACCTCTAATGAAATAATGGCACATAAGAAAAATCATCACCTGTTTAGATTTGGAATAGAAGTTTTTTTTTCCTCTAATGTATAATATGAAATGCTTTCAGGTAATTCTTGCTGCAGAGTTGCTTAAAAGTGCAGATGAGTTGGTGAAGCAGAAGATCCACCCCACATCAGTCATCAGCGGATACCGTCTGGCTTGCAAGTAAGATGCTAACAGAGAATTAAACAGTTTCTTCTTTATAAGCAGAACGTGATTATTGCTATGTGTTGAGATTTTTAACATGGGACTTTTGAAATCCTTCAGGGAAGCAGTTCGCTACATTAACGAGAATCTCACCATCGGGACAGATGATCTGGGAAGAGAGTGCTTGATAAATGCAGCTAAAACCTCCATGTCTTCAAAAATCATTGGGGTGTATCCTTTTTGTCTTGTAGTACATAGTTTTGCACTGCAGCCAATCTCTGTTTGATTATATCTTGTGCATGTGATAAACCCTTAACCCTTAGCCGTCAGTGATGCAGAATTCTTTGCTAACATGGTGGTGGACGCTGCCATGGCTGTGAAGTTTGTGGACAGCAAGGGCATTGCCAGATATCCCATCAACTCGGTCAATGTGCTGAAAGCCCATGGCCGCAGCCAGAAAGAAAGCTTCCTCGTCAATGGATACGCGGTGAACTGCACAGTTGGCTCACAAGGTATTTTGGTTTTTAAAACAAGAAAGCAACATTGTGAATGCAAAATACCACTTTTTGATCATGTGATTGTTAAAACACTAGCACAATAGTTGATAAACTCCCATTAAATTTGCTGCTATGCCTCATCTGGTGGCATAAGCAGTGATACGCGTGGGAAAAAGTAAACTGGCTTCAAGGACCATAGGCACAGTAGTTCTTAAACTGTGGCACCACTCTTCCAGCCAGACAGTATAACAGCCCTGAGTGAAATGATGTGTTGCATCTCTTAATACTATTCCTCAAACTCGGGCTGGGCGATAAAGCAATGATGATGTATGTCAAAAATTAATTTCCCTCGATATCGATGTAAAAAATTGTCAATATGCTTTTCAGTAGTCGGGATTCTGCCATGTTTTTGTAAACTATATGAAAAGCTAATGAAAAGGGGAGTTGCTCCGGGTCCACTTCGCGCTGAACCAATCGTGCTGAATTAGAACCAAGTAACAAACAACTGTGTAGTGGTAGGCTGCAGCTACATGCAACCATAGCACTTTAACACGTGAAGCCGACAGCACTGTCTGTGACAAAAAAAGAAAATGAGTGCTACCCCCGGCAGAAATGCAGATGAAGGCTCAACAGACGATGACATCGTTGACAACACTAGCATGAAAACGTCAGTGGTGTGGAGGTGTTTTGTTTTTTTAAGATCGTACATGAAGCAGAGTAATGTGCACTGCAAATTATGTCGAGTACATGTTCTTGCAAAGTCTGGGAATACCTCAAATCTTTTTCACCACCTGAAGCAGTGCCACGCGGCAGAGCATGCACAATGCAAAAGGTTACTAACCCCAAGCAGAGCAAGGAGCTCATAGCACCTGTGCAGCCAAAACGGCTGACCGTTCCGCTTTCTCTTGCTCAACGCCTAATGACAAAATGTCAGACACCAAGACCTCACAGATGCAGTAGCTCATTGTATTGCAAAAGACATGCTAACAATAAGCGCTGTTACATTTAAATTTTTATACCGTGATATATATCGATATCAACAATCTATATAAATAAGATATATATAGATATAAAAAATATATAATGATAAACTTTTTTCCCATATTGCCCAGCCCTGCCTCAAACTATTTAGTAATGAGGTGCTAACAGCTCGTTCTTGGTTCAACATTTGTTTTCATCCCCCTTTTGAAGGCATGGTGAAGCGAGTCATTAACGCCAAGATTGCATGCCTGGACTTCAGCCTGCAGAAGACCAAGATGAAGATGGGGGTCCAAGTCATCATCAACGACCCAGAGAAGCTCGACCAGATCAGGCAAAGGTAGATGCTGCCTTCTTGCTCTCGCACAAACATAACCTTGACAGTTATCCCATTTAAATTTGCTGTGATGCTGCATCAGTAGTTTCCACAGTGATACGCGTGGGAGAAATCATAAACAGCCCCAGTCAGGCAGCAGCTTCCCCCTGAGCTGCTGTACTAAAACTGCGGGTTGGACAGTCTTGTGTATTATCTGCATGTGTATTGTATTGTGTGTTATCTGTAACACTAAATGAAAAGTGGATTTTGTTGATTCAGAGAGTCTGATATCACCAAGGAGAGGATCCAAAAGATTCTGGCAGCAGGCGCCAACGTTATTCTGACCACTGGTGGCATTGATGACATGTGCCTGAAGTACTTTGTGGATGTAGGAGCAATGGCAGTGAGGAGGGTTCTCAAGAGGGACCTCAAACGCATCGCAAAGGCAACAGGAGGTAGAATAGAAATGAAAGCAGATTTGTCTTTTATTTCTCACGCTTCTCTAATCAGAGGTTAAAAAAAAAAAACTTGCAAGTATGATTGACATTCTGTGTGTTTGTCTTCTCAGCCATCGTCTGCCCCACTCTGACCAATCTGGAGGGAGAGGAGACATTTGAGGCGACTATGCTCGGGATGGCCGAGGAGGTCGTGCAGGAACGCATCTGCGATGATGAGCTCATCCTTGTCAAGAAGTAAGAACTGCAGCATTGGAGCACAATGCTGTATTTTGCTGTCAGCTCAGTCCAGCTGTGGAGCAAAATCATCATGTTATTAATTTACCTTTTGGTTCTGCAGAAAGTTGTGATAAACTAGGACAAGGACAGTAATCATAATTTGTTCTAACTTTCAATCTCAAGTGCGAATTTTTGTTGGTCTCCACAGCACCAAAGCACGCACATCAGCATCCATCATCCTGCGCGGGGCCAACGACTTCATGTGTGACGAGATGGAGCGTTCGCTGCACGATGCCCTCTGTGTGGTAAAGAGAGTGCTGGAATCAAAGTCTGTAGTGCCAGGAGGAGGCGCTGTGGAGGCCGCTCTGTCAATCTACCTTGAGAATTATGCCACCAGCATGGTGAGCTGTCATCTATGAAAGACCTTTTATCAGAGTTTGAAGTTGTGTGGAGCCTCGGTAGAGGAAAACTGTACTTGTGAGTAAAATCGCTCAACACGTTTTCTCTGCAGGGTTCCCGCGAGCAGCTGGCTATTGCAGAGTTCGCTCGGTCTCTCCTCGTCATTCCCAAGACGCTGGCTGTGAACGCAGCACAGGACTCCACAGATCTGGTGGCCAAGCTCCGGGCCTTCCACAACGAGGCTCAGGTTAATCCTGAACGCAAGAATCTTAAATGGTACGTTGGCTATTATTTTCTACCATGACAAGAAAAATCTCTGGATTCTGACGCGACTGTTGGTCCAAAAAGTAGGGATAAAGATCTCTAAAGACATCATCCTGTTTCTGAAATTATGGGAGTGGATTTTTAAGCATGTTGTATATTTCAAACAGTAAATGAACAGTGTAGACTTAAAAGCAATTTTTGCTGTCAGCTATTAGGGGTAAAAATAAAGCCAGGGTGGGAATCACCAGTGGCCCCACGATACGATATTATCACGATACTTGGGCCACAATATGATATTATTGCAAATTTTTTATATTTTGCAATACAGTGAATATTGTGATACAATATATATTTTTTAACCATTTAGCTAATTTAGCAGTCGCCTTTTCTTTATGTTTGTCTTATTTACACAGTATTTTATTTTCATGTAGCACATCTTGCAAACATTATGTATCAGGTCCATCTCAGCTCTCAATTAATTTAAAAAAATCAATACTTGGTCATTGAGACAATACGATATATCACCAGACAAAATATTGCGATACTGTGCTATATTGATTTTTTCTCCCAAACCTACTAACTAGCCAGGTAAAGAAAATCATGCAGACTTAAGGTCCTTACACACTGGGAACGACAGAAATTTACGACGCAAAATTACAAAATATTCAGAGGCGAATTTTGACACGCCTGACTATACACATGAAGCGTGATGCGATTTTGCAACTCGCCAGGGGAAAATGACTCTTGCCTCATGGAAGCGAGAAGACTGACAACACTAGACTGACTGTTTTTCAGTTCTGATTAGACACGAGTGTTGAGATGGCTGTCTGTCATGATAGCATGTACTGAGTCGGGGCCAGTACCAGATAAGCACATTAAACTATAATACATAAACATAAGGTAACAACCAATACCGAATGGCGCTGTGACAGCAATGGGATTAAGTTTGAGACGGTTAGCTTACGAACTAAAGTTACTTAGAACAGATGAAAGTTAGAAAAATGACGTTTGGCAAACTGTTAAAGAACACAAACCATCATCATATGAGAAATCCAACGCTATGACTCTCCACAAGTTGTCCTTCAGGTCGTTATCTTTGTAATATTTGTGTTTTTTTTTATCAAAAAGCACTCTGTTCTCTGACACAAACAATCAGCCGGTCGGCCATGTTGGATATACTGGTGAATCTGACATCGCAACAACACGCAATCTGCTTGGTCAGAAGTGGACACACAGTATGCGAAACTTTGGAAAAATGGACCGTGATTCGAAAAAATAAATGCTGCGATATGACAGGACAGGAAAATGTTACTGATGTGAACACTTGCATTGACAGAATACGGGTTCGAAAAAATAATCGCACGAAAAAAAACGCCCCCGGTGTGAAAGGACCTTAAATAGGAAATGTGACTGATCGAAAAAGCAAGATCCCTGTGCATAGATAGGTAGTTCTCTTCACTCCAAAAATGTGATCAAATTCTATTCTTGTTCTGTAGGATCGGTCTTGACCTCGTGAACGGAAAGCCCAGAGACAACCGCCAGGCTGGTGTGTACGAGCCCACCATGGTCAAAACAAAGAGCCTCAAGTTCGCCACAGAGGCGGCCATCACCATCCTCCGTATTGACGACCTCATCAAACTGTTCCCCGAGCCAAAAGAGGGCGGACAGTCGTACCAGGATGCCGTACAGTCTGGATCTCTGGAGGGTTAGAGGCTGCGGCTCATCGTCTGTATTTATGCATTAGGAGCTCTTCATGGCTGTTGCTCTAGTGTAGGCTGTGCACTTTGCCTGTTTTACTGTTCTCCCACTCCCTCCGCTCACAGGACTGTAGGTCATTTGTTTTTTTGGACACTGAATAAAGCTCCAATGGTTGTAAATGGCCATTAATTTGTTAATTCAAACAGTCTTCTTGTGGTTTTTGATCAGTGATTGATAAATAAGTGTTGAGACAGTTTGGCTTTATGGCTTTAAGTTCTTTACTGATATGTCAAGCAGCTACATTACAGGACACATCTCCACAGACAGTCAGCTGTGTAAAGGAAGCACAAGGTTAGAGAAGGCAAGCACACTTCACCTTATGGCACTTAGCTGGGTTGAAGGCTGCACAGTTGACTAGAGAAAGAGGAATGTTTGTCAGGTTTCACAGCATCCTAAATCTATGGGATAGACACAATGATTAAATAAGTTGCACCACAAATTACCATCAGTGGATTACAGAGAAAGAGGCTTGTCTTTCAAAGTCTGACCACTGGGAGAATTTCATTGATCCAGCTATGCAATTAACTGAACACAGGTCAAACTATTTGCTTTAGTAAGGTGACTATTAAGCTCATCTAATGCCTAGTTTTCTGCCAAAGCTGTTAGCACATACCTGTACATCCCAAAACCTCTTGGGTGAGGTTTAATACTACTCAGCTACAACCTGAGGTCAAATTAACTTCACAGTGAAAGCTTCGGTTAGACAGGTCCCTACAATCACAATAAATTTAAATGCATTATTTCCACCTCTGGTGCAGTGATTGGAAGATCCCCCAGTAAACCATTTTAAACCATCTGCAGTGTAAACAGTGATTCAGCATCCCTTCTCCAGTAAAAACTCAAGATTGAGCCAAAGTTTCTCTCTCAGTCCCTCTCCACGCACATGGCGATGCCCATCCCTCCTCCGATGCAGAGTGATGCCACCCCCTTATGGCCCCCCGTCCTCTGCAAAGCGTGCAGCAAAGTCACAAGCACTCTGCAGCCTGACATCCCGATGGGGTGGCCCAGAGAAATGGCGCCGCCACTCACATTCACCTAAGAAAGAAAAGTATTGTTAAACGCACTCTAGTATAAATTTGGACAAGACTGTAAGCTATGATGCGCACCTTGTCTGCATTCAGCCCAAGTTCTTTAACCACAGCGACAGACTGGGCAGCAAACGCCTCATTGATCTCAAACAGGTCTACTTGGTCCAGCTTCCATCCTGCTTTCTCCACCTATCGAAGAAGAAGTAAGAGTCAAGACACCGGGGCTTTCATCAGTCACTGTTGCACTGAGCTGTTTCTGATCTCTCACCGCTTTCCTGATGGCAGGGATTGGTCCAGTTCCCATGATAGACGGGTCAAGGCCAGCTTGAGCCCAGGAGACAATTCTAGCCATGGGCTTTAAGCCCCGCCTCGCAGCCTCTGATTGGCTCATTAAGACAGTTGCTGCTGCTCCATCATTAATTCCTGAAATACAGATAATTGTACAAATATATTTTTCAAAATACTTAGAAAGAAGGAAAGGAAAAGAACTAGAAAAGAAAAGGAAAGAAAAGGCACAGACAGAAAATATACATACACATACATATTATTACAAAGGGAGAGAAGAATCATAGTAACAATGAGTACATTTCAAGAGGTAGGTCCAGGGATTAGAAATACTTCAGTCATTTTTATTCCATTTGTACAGAGCAGATAACTGTATTTTGATGATAGATGAAGTGAACTATCGTTGATTTTTATTGTGGAGTTAGAAAATTTAAAGCTCGAACCTGAGGCATTTCCAGCTGTGACTGTGCCCGTGCTGTCCTTAATAAAGCAGGGTCTGAGTTTGGACATGCTGTCAATGTTGCTGCCATGGCGAGGAAACTCATCCACCTTCACCTCCACTGGGCCTAAAGATGTGAGACAAACAGACTGATGAGACAACCTCTCAAAAACAGAAGGATTTATAATTGAACACTTCACTGCTTCACCTTTTCTCGATGGCACCATAACCGGAACGATCTCTTGGTCAAAATGTCCTGCCTTCTGTGCAGCTTCGGCTTTGTTCTGGGACCTGACAGCAAACAGATCCTGCTCCTCTCGACTCACTGCCCACTGCTTTGCAACGTTCTCAGCTGATGGGAAATATGGGTATGATTTATGAAAGCAGTTATTAAGATGTACAGAAATCAAGCTGGTGCCTTTGTATGTCCTCCACCATGCACACCTGTGATGCCCATGTGGTAGCTGTGGAAGGCGTCTGTCAGGCCGTCAGCCACCATGGAGTCCTGAAGAGAGGCATCGCCCATCTTCACACCTGCTCGCATTTGCAGTGTGTGAGGAGCCTTGAAGTGAGCCAAGAAAACAAGAGTTAAGATGTCTGTCTCTGTTTATATGAAAGAAGACCAAAATAGAGGGTAGCACAGACCTGTTTGAGAAGTTGTAAAGAAAAGTAACCACAAAATTTTAATAACTCCAAAGCTCCTGTGAGGAACTTTCAGTTTGGCGCCACTCCTGTGGATAAAGCAGCTTTTGCTTCTCTTGTCTTTTACTTGCCTTAAAGGGATATTCTGGCATAAAATTAATTTAGGGTCAAACACATCGTAACACTGAGTTAGACACCCCTCAAGAGATGAATGTTGCCGACCGCTTGCTTCTTTAGGTATACCAACTTTAGTGACGACCATACTATAGCAATACAATGTGGTCTGAGGAGTCATAAACACACCTCAACTAAAAAGCCACTCTATAGCCACAAATAATGCTCAGAACCGCACCTAACTTTATCAACAGTACATATAGGGTCCCAGTCATAGCACTAGCCACCAAACATCTTTTTAGCTTTGCCTAATTTCTTTAGCAAAAAGACTAAACACAATTCACCTACTCTCTTCCAGCTTCGCTTGTTTGTAACGAGACCTCGGGCCAGTCCATTACGGACTGCTGCGGGGTGACGCAGCTCAAGGAAGAACATTTATGATAATTTCTTTGTCATTTCCTTTAAGTAATAATCACCATATTGATCATTTTGCACTGCAGACGTGGTAGCTCTTCTGCCTTAGCGTCTCGGTCTGATTGCATTTCCATGATTCCCTAAATTAATTTTATGCCCGAATATCCCTTTAATAGTGACAAAAAAACAAAAAAAAACTCATCCTGCTGACTTTGGACAAATTTGTTCATGTGAATATTTGATGTGAAAAATGTAAAAACAGGGCTAGGCTATTATAATGATGGTCTTAGTATCCGGTTATTCATATTGCATTAAGTTCTTTGAGGGACATTTTTGTAATTATCTGAAATATTGAGCTGAACTTCAAATTTTCAAGGTGATTCTTTATTTGGAATAGTTCAAAAAGTCAGAATTATCTTTTCAATAAGTAAACACCAGGTTGCACATCGCACTGTTGTCGTCTTTCTTAGTCAAATGAAGCCACACATTAGATTGTTTCTGCTTACTTTTCATACCATCCGCCATGTTTTTTTCCTCAAAGTCACTGTTCTCGGTCACGTATACTGGCTCTTGTAAGAACGTTTTTCAAGGCACCCATGAAAAAGGAATTGTTGAGATAATATGTAAAAGATGTCAATGGATCGAACCATTTGGAACCGGTTCTCAACAACAACCGGTTCTCAATTCCCATCCCTACTTGCTGATAACCAGCCTTCAAATACAGAGATCATAACACCTCATCCATCTGATCTGATTGTACTTTCAAGCCCTCCTCATCGCTCCATGTGTCACACTTACCCTGCTCATACTCTCCATGCCCCCTGCCACCACCACAGCAGACTCTCCTGACTGAATGGACTGAGCTCCCAGACACACGGCCTTCAGCCCAGAACCACACACCATTTGACAGCTCCAGGATGGGACAGGGTAAGGGATCCCTGCTGCAACACTGGCCTGACGAGCTGGGTTTTGCCCGTGACCTTACAAATACAAAGAAAAAACAGCAAAAGAAAAATGAATGATAATACTGATAAGGAAATAACAGAAAAGGGAGCAAAGTCAGATCAGTATGATACTGTAAGCAAGATCCATGTCTTGTTCAACCTCTGCCACACTTCTATCTTAGTTCCCAGAGCTTTTACCTGCTGTTAGGACGTGGCCCATGATAACCTCAGAGACCTCTTCTGGCTTCACTGTGGCCCGCTTTAGGACATCTTTTATCACAACTGAGCACAGGTCAGGCAGAGGCACCGTTGACAGAGCACCATTCAAAGACCCTGTGAAAAAAAGAGGAGGGAGATGACAGTCAGGAAGCAATTTAAGGCTTTGAAACTGCTCCTTATTGAACTAGGACGTGTTTCCCACCTCAAAGTTTTTACCTGACAGTTATTCATGCTTTCACATTATCTCACTTTATGTAATACACTGTCGCCTTATAGTCAAATTCAATGTTTCATGTCATGGACGGTAAACACGCCCCCACTTGCTGGGGCACTAGTTAGAACGTTACAGGTAACCAATGGTAGTGATCTCGTGCTACGTGGAACTATGACGGCCAGCCAATCACTGCTCGCAGAACACTGCGGACACAAAAGTGAACCAATCAGAGCCCGGTAAGACTTCGCATATTTGATTGAATTACATCGAGCAAAATTGAAACACACGTTTTATTACGACGGTAATGTAAAAAGTAAAGACACACGGCAGCTTAAATCTATATTTGAATTTTTAACCGATAAAATGACCATAGCGACAAGGAGACACACTAAATTTACATAAAAGGCTGCAATATTACTGTGAATGCATATTGGCGAGTGTTGTTTCTTACCTATGGGTGTCCGAGCAGCAGAGACGATGACAACAGAGTCGTTGTTCATTTTGACAGAAAAAGGCTGGTTAAAGTTGCAGAGCTTTCTTTCAATCGTTCCTGTGTGCCTGTACCGCACTGCCTGCTCTGTTGACACTGCCCTGCCTGTCAGAGATGCACTGAATGAAGTACAAGACAGAGTGAACTGACTGATGACTGCACCACAGTGCCACCCAGTGTTGTGGAGGAGTGTGCGTTCACAGTAAACACACTCTATTACACTGCAAATTCATTTTAATTTTAAAGTGTATTTTGTTTTTTTTTTCTCTTAGTCTACATACTTATTCATAGATCAAATTCTAAATCTGAGATTTTTGGGGAGTGCTCTAGTAAAAATACTCATTCTTACACCTTTGAGATTAGGAAAAAGTACCTTTATTTGACAGAATACACACCTAATATTATAGTTAAAGCATTTGAAATATTTATGCCTCAGTTGATTCAGTTGGTTGAACAAGTGTTTTTTGGTGCACTGTCAGGTGGAAAGGAGGAGTTTCACCCTGTAGTATTAAAAATCTTTATTGGTATTTGGTCAGTACATGAAAAGGACTGAAGTCAGAATAATATGAACATCGCATAGAAACTACTCACAATTCAACTGAATCTTTTGAACAAAATTTCTGTCAATGAAAAATTAAAATTGCATTAAAATTAAAAAAAAAAAAAAACAACACAGGCCAACATCTAAAAATGACCTTTTGAATTTTGCGAAGCTACTGTAGTTCAGTGATTTTACTGACTTGACGATGAGTTACAACACCAGATGCCTGATTTCAGTGTCAAACGAGAACGGCATTAACATGCTCAAATTAACAGCAGAATGAAACGTACTACTTTTAAATCATACATCCACTCAGTTCAAATCTAACATTAACCCTTTCCTGTTATATCCTTGTTTAGCAACACAAACGTGACTGAGGCATCACAATGAGCGAGGGGAGGTGGGTGAAAACAAACGTCTTGGACCGCAGTGCTGCGTCACAGACTATTCATTTGTTGCCTTGTTTGTATACTGTATAAAAAAAAGAAAAGACAGTACATGTCAAAGTACATTACAAAACTGCGCTGTCACTCGTACCAGAGTCTAGGCCGTTCTGAGTGTGTCGTGACCCTGCAGTCCTGGTGCCCTTGGTCACCAGGGCAGTCTTGTCCTCATGGGGGTCGGTGGTGGAGTCTGTGTCATTTGAGTGCTGAGTCAATGAGGTCTCGCTGCCAGTTGGAGAGTCCACGCTCTCATACCCTGCACTCAGCTGGCTCCCAAAACCCACAGGTCCTCCAACTCTCCCCGCAGCAGTCTGACTCCCTGATGCCTCTTCTGAGTGGTTGGACAGTTTGCTCTCAGCTTCACCAGGGCTGGAAACCATGGGGGACATGGGAAAGTCTTCCTCTGTACTGCTGACCTCCCGGTACAGGCTGGGTGTAGTGGTCTCGCTCCTCTGGGATGAGTTGCCGTTACTTGGTCCATTGGAGACCCTCCCGAAGTCTTTGCCCATGGGTTCAGGAGTTGTGCTGGCCTGCTCGGGCTGGGTGGATGGTTCTGCAGATGAACAGGAGGCTGAGGGTGAAGTCCTGCTGGGTCCTGCTCCAGCCAAGGCCCCCTGAGTTTGAGTCAGCTGCTGGCGTGAGTCTTTCAACTGCTGTTGCAGGACAAGGATGGTGCTCTGCATCCCCTCTACTTCCTCATCAAGCTGGATGATAAAATCATTCAGCTCTGGGAGAGTCATCCACCAGGAACAGAGAAAACAGTCGTCAAACATCAGATCAACAACAACAACAACATGTCAGAGAGACACATGAGAGGAGCAACACTCGAGTACATCACAGGAAATGAAGTTGCTCTCACCATCTTGGCTGCTCTTCAGCTCCTCACTGTACTTCTTCTGCAGGGCCAACTCCGCCTCCAGCTGGGCGATGCGACCCTGGGACAACTGTCGACCCAACTCCTGGTTTTCCTGAATCAGCATCCGACACTTGGCCATCAGTTTCTTCCCCGTTTGGCTGTAAGGGAAACAAGTCTCACATCACACAGTGAACCAGGCCACTTACAAAGTAAATGTTAAAATATGCTCCTAATCTGCCCTAACTGGCTGATCCACCAGCTGGGGGTCCCAAATGTCTCTTCAGTTGGCTTTTCCTCAACTTTAAGGATTTCCATTACATCCCTTTGATCTTAGTGCAACATACAATATCAGGAAGCCATTGAATTACCTTCTCTGCACAAATCAGCAAGCTGTGTTTTTCTTACAGATCAAATTACTAACATTTTTGCTGATTAAGTTACAAGTTAAGTTATGGCTAAATTCTGAAACTCTGAGGGCTTCAAAAACTCCTAAAACTTTTCCATGGACCTCATGCATTCATTTCTCTGTCACAGCCTATCAAAACAGGTTTAAAGTGAGCACTTCAGAGAAATACAGCAGCGATTGTGGCACTACCAAAATTCTCCAATATCAGCAAAAGCAACATTCCTGAGTTTGTGGAAAAGCACAATGAAATAGGTTATAGTTAAAATGACAACCAATCAGAAAATGGTAAAAATGAACAGCAGCCCTTAGCTATGACAACTATGTGTCAAAACAGGAAACCTGCACTGTCGCTTTACGAGCAAATGTTCAACTGGAAAAGCAGAAACTCTCAAATCCTCTTCTATAGTTGAGCCCACCTGTTGCTTTGATATTTAAAAGTTGTTGTGTTAATACAGCACAAAACTCCTCATGTATAAAAGCCTACTTTTAAAACAATTAGCAGGAGAACACATTAATCTTAAAATTAATCAACCACGATCTTAATACCCGGTGTGTAAATGTATGTAAAGGTCCATTAGTCTGGGAAAATCAAACCGTAACAGTAAAATGTCTGAGTAACAGTATCGATCAAAGCAGGAGTAAACATTCAAGTGGCAACAGTTTCAAAAAGTGATCAAAGACCATGCATGTAATTCTGCTTGTTGTAATTAAAAACTGCAGCCATGCATTATTTATCATTGAGCTGGTCGCCTCTAAGTAGAGCAGTAATTCAGAAGAGCTGCTTTAAGCTCCCAAACAGCTGCAGGTAAACACTCACAGCTAAATCGGACTTCACTGTGAGAGGCCCAGTTTCAAAACACAAAATCATAGAGCCAGTTTGGCGTGTTTGTCATTTTCAAAACAGTGGCAGGAGATCAGCGCCACACAAGTGAGTAAGTCTCATCATTAATGAACTCGGATGGCTAAAGGAAAGATTGTGAGGTCAATGACAAAAATACACAGAAATACAATCAATACAATTTCATCATCTCATAACATGACTCTTAAAAAGACATTTGCATTCACAACTTGAAAACAGGACTCAGTGCACCTACAGCAGTGTGTTTCAGTTTGTCTCTGAAGAATTAAGCACAGCTTAACTCCTCATTCAAGTGCAAATAGTCATACAAGTGTCAACAATCTCAGGGAATCATGCGTCTTGGTTCAAACACACTGCAGTAAGTGTTAGTTTTAGAGAAACAAGAGAAAAGATCAAATGAAAATGCCAATAAAAAAAGAAATGTCACAAAATAAAACATGTAAATACACTCTACCGTGAGTGGGTCCGTGCTCAAAGACACGGACGACAGGACCCTGGTGACTCAGTCACAGCCCTCTGTGGACTGAGGATCTGGCTCCGCCCACAGTCTGAACACCATTTCTAGAGTCTCTTTGCCCCAAAGTCTTACTTTTAAAACCTAGACGCTTTCCTCATGTTACTGCAATGTATCTAAACTGTCCAGGAAGTCTGTACGTTTCTCAGGCAGGCTAGAGGGGTATGTGTGTGGTGTAATCCACCGTTAATGTCTTTATAAAACAAGTACTGGTATAGTCTTTAAAGTGTTCAATTGCTGTTTTAGGCTAGGGAAGCTCCCTGCCTGACTCACCCTCCACCGTAACCCCCCCATTTAATAAAGTCAACTGTCTGCTTTGGGCTGAGGGTGCGGGGAGGGCATATCCGTGTTGGGCAGTGAGTGACCACCTCTTCAGGATCAGTCCGGACTCCTTCAGGCCCTTGGACGGTGAGGGGAAACGAGGGGAGAGAGCTGAAACACAAGTGTCACCTGACCATACTGTCTTTTCTCTTTAGGTTATGTGATATGTAGCTGGCACAGTGCAAGAGTACAAAAACAGCTTTCTGTAACGTCTGAGTCTCGTGGTGAGTACAGCATTTTGTCAGCCTTCCCCCCACCATTGTTCCTGCATGCCTGCAGTGAGCGTGAGGGTGGGGGGGCATGAGGAAGTCTTGACTTTTTTTTGGAGGGAGGGGGTTATTTTGATTGTCTTTACCTATCAGGTGTAAATTTCCAGGCACTCAGTTCATTTTGGGCCTGCTCCAGTTTGTCTTTAGTCTGTTCTAGTTCAGCCTTCATTTTGAGGAAAAACAAGTTGATGGCCGGGTCCACCATGGATGACCGCAGTTGGGCTGCACTCGGCTGCTGGACTTGCTTGAGGTACTGGATCTGGGTCTGCAGGATAAAACAAATTAGTGTTAATGACTGGCAAAGGACACTACCTGTCTACTAAACTAGTAGAGTCACAACAGCAGTGATACTGTAATTACATTAAATGCTTAAGTTGAAAGTCATCTATATTTCAATATTATCTTTTTTTTTTAAATCTTGAGCCTTTCAAGAAACAAAAGAGCCTCTAAAGAGCACTGGAGGAAACTTGTGTGCAATTTCTGCTGGCTTGCTTTTCAAAAAGTGTAAAAGTTTAACAGCTTTCAGGTTTGGTTTCTGATAGAGTAAGTAACTGGATGGCTTGATTACTAACAACTTTAAGATCAAATCCTACATCACCTCAAATCTACTGTAAAACCTACTAAAAATCAAAGCCGCTTTCTAGGAGAGCTGAGGATTCTACCTTCAAAAAGTTCAAATTTATCACAAAAACTCACCTGCATGAGGGGAAATTCATGCCCACCTCAAACTTTACATATCTGACTTATTTGAATATATTTGCATGAGAGTCCTATACACCTGAAAACATGACAGCCATCTACAAAGTCCAGTCCAAACCCAGCTCTACGACTTTGTGAAGCCGAGTTGTTGAAATAAAAGTGACAGTTTAATATCTACCTGGCAGTGTGTGTGTGCTGTGTTCACCTTATCTGCCCTGTCAAAATGGTGCGTGTTGTTGTAAAGCCACTAGGTGATCCACTGAGCTGTCAGTCTGATAAGAGCAAAGGATGCCCTTCTTGGCCCTATTTACCTTTAGCCTACATTATACCGGAAGGAATGGATGGACAGTGTAGCAGTAGTGCTGAGAGACTGTCTCCCTCACGATCAGTCAAAAGTGAGATAATTAGCTAACAACCGCTTTCATAAATAACTGTTTTTTTTGCTGCATCATAAAATCAAGTACAGGTTACTAGAGTCTGTTTGTATACACAGATAACCTTTAAGCATTTGTCAATATTCTTACAAAAGAAATCCAACAATCAAACAAAGTAAAAGAGGTCAGCTCCAGCCACAAACCAGTGAGAGTTAAAAAATGACAGCACAGCTTCTTCTATCATACCAGGAGCAGAAATCATCTTTTGAAAGATTGTGAAAAAAGCCCATGATGGAACTTTTTCACAATCATATCTGAGCATTAAGAGAGTGGGGGAACAAACACTTACTGTGCACTCCTGCATTTCCTGCTCCTTGGTGGCAAGTCGCATGACCAAGATGTTCTCCCGGCGCGCAGACTCTTGCTGCTGCTGCTTGAGCTTTTCCTCCGACTCCTTCAGCCCTGTTACATCATTGGCTGAGACGGTGGGAGAGAGAGGGAGAGAGATGACAAAGTGCATTAGAAGAAACATCCCTTTCATAAGCTGCCAAATATAGTGTGTAGAGAGTAATGATTAATGCTGGCAGTAGAAATCATGTCCACCGTGTTGCATTGGATTACACTGATGTAAGAGCAGATGTACTTACAACATAGCTCGGCATATTTTGCCTCCAGGACCTGGACATATGCTTCATGCTGTTTCCATCTGAGAGGAGCAAAGCTTGTGTAAACATTAGCAGCTCAACTAATATACAATGACAAGCTAGAAGACTATGAACACCTATCTAATGCAACCCAATACAACATCAGTTGTACTCTTCAACATTTTTGTTTTTTGTTGGCATGGGCAGAGAGGTGATAACTGCTCTACATGCCAGTACCACTCCACCCACTTCTACTAATAATCAATAACAATAAAGTACAATAATCACCTTTCTGATCATGTCAACAAAACCCTAAACTCCAAAAGCTTTCCAAAAGTTGTGTTAGCGCTGTTGTATTGCATTGCATCTGATTGTCTAGGTGTTCATAATGATCATGCTGGTGTGTGCATCAAGTTCTCCCTAAAAATGAATAACCTGCAGTAATATCGCTGTTATTTACCTTGTACACAGCTCCTCTCTGGTCATGGTCTTCATGTCAGATTCACTGAGGCGAACCTGCACAGAGGGAGAACAAAAACGAAACACTTCATTAGGCTCTTATCCAGACATGTGTGGACTCGTCTGACGTGAGAAATTAAGCAGGTTAACGAACTCACCTTCTTAGGGAGAGGCTCCTCGTTGGTCATTGTTACCTCTGGAAGAAAAAGACAGAGACAGTCACCACTTATCAGACCTTGGTGTGATGTTTTAAAGCGCCTGCATCATCTTTCGCCGTACGTAAAGCCTGTATGACAATTTTCCGAAATCGGTACAATTGTGCGGTTTCCAACTTATACAGTAAAGTCAATTGTGGATTGTGATAGATTTATTTACCTGACAGAACAAAAATACTTGGTTTTACCAGTACTAAAAGCTGTCTAGCCTTATGTTAGCTGGTGTGGCAGGCGGCAACGATGGATGGCAAGTACTGAAATTAAGCTATCCTTGGTTCAGTCTCAGTAAAAATGATATCCAGCATCCGCTCACAAAACTAAATTAATGATATATGAATATACAGCGCAAAAAACTAACGGCTTTAAATTGATCTAGCCAGCATGCAATTCTTGGCTCTGTTTTCGGCTCCTTGTTATCACAAAATGGCGGTGAAGGAAATGACTCCCTCCCTTGCGCTCCTTTTCCTGAAACTAGCGGGCTCTTGGCTGCAGATAACAGGCCTTAAATCATCAAAACGCTTACCAGACCCCTTTCTTTCGATATTTCTTGAAAGTCTCGACTTCAGCGGGATAAGAAGATGCAAATAATTGCAACTTCCCTGAAAAGAAATAGCGGATAATTTATATGAAGTCGACTCGCTTCGGCGTGGACACCTTCATCTCCGTCACTGAAGGCAGGATAGAATGGCTGTGGCCGAGCGGCTGCTGCACTCGCCTCGCTGCGGAGCACAACCAGAGATGGTAATGAAAAACAGATGTCTCACTCCATACCAAATTTGCGATCCTTAGACGTGTTTAACAAGTAAATGACAGTTGCATTCCCTAGCTTAGTTCAATGTGTCACTCGCTTAAGTTATGGGCTATGTTGTGTTTCCTCTTCAGTGTGAGGTATCTTGATGCTCAAAGTTCTTAGATATTGTTGAAAAAAAATTACATTTTGATAACATGACGATAGTTTAAATGATATGCATGAAAGTTTTTGATTTTCATAATCACTTTGTTTTTTTTTGCTCTGTTAGCAACTAGGAGGAAAATTGTCTGTTGGAGAAAAAATACCCTTGTCAGTCCATATGGCTACTTAATTGTCGTAGCACAAGGAACAAGTCGCGTTGGTACTGTAACAGAGTAAGTTATTTGTCATATATAGACGATCTTCGGTATTGCCTCCGTTGTGATAAAAGAGGCTTTCACGTGACTCCGTACATTACTGCAAGGTTTCGACGTAAATATTATTTGCTGATTGTTTGCGTCGTGCGCGTGTAAATAATTTATTTAAATAACTTTTATTATGTGGTATTTCCGTTTTATTATGATTATTAAGACAGGCAAAATTTTGTAATTTGTAATGTTAAGCTTTTTCCTTTATTTAAACTTTCTAAGTATTCAACAGCGCTTGAAGTGCGCTTATTTGCACCTTCATGTAAGGTGAGGAAAACCTGTCAGAGGGGTTTGGTGAAAGTGTCGTTGGAGGGGAGGGGCATACGATAAATTATCAAATGTGCTTATAATCAGTCACAGTGTTTCAAATTTTAATCACACAAACATTTACACATCATATTTTGATTTTTATTAAATGAAACGCGCCTCATAATGTCGCTGTTGTTGTTAATTTAATGTTATAAAAATTCTTGTACAACCTTGCCAACACCCCTCAATATCGATAATGGTACGGTCTCCTGCGCTGTCATGCTGAAAACGCACACTTCAAGGGCAGAGACCACTGTGTCTACTCTCTGCCGTCAACCATATGAGCACTATCATGAACATGCTTTGCAGAGTTGGTCAAATACGCAGGTAATAATGATATTAGCTTGACATTGAGTGCCATTACCAGCCTTGCAACGCTCCAGAAAAAGGAAAAACTACATCTACCAGTACTGGTTGGTCATGAACTTGAGACAGTTGTTTATTCAGAGCTAACAGTCAGCTAGCAGGATGCTAACTTAGTTCAGCAGCTTATCAAGGTTAGCTTGTGTCGCACATAATTAAATATTTTTTGTGTTGCTTCAGCACAGCCATGCATTTCTTTCTTTTGGGGAGTGTATGCTGTGTTTTATTCATACACACTAATTCATACACGGTTAACACCCGACTACACAGCTGCAAAGTTAATCTACATCAACACTACATATTCAGGTCATTTTAAGCCTCTGTGCTTGAGCTCAATTTCTCCTCCCATGCGTTTGAAAACCTCAAAAGTTTGATGCTCAGATGGGTGTTTTTTATTCTGTATACTGTGGTGGCAACTACAGTGTGCTGTGAAGTTCACTTTATGTAGTAAGTGTGCCCTTTGTTTTTGTTGCAGGTGTGCAGCCAGCCTCAGCCAAACGATCAGCCAGGTAGCTGCTTCAAGGCAGAAGCACACACTTCCTGACCTGACCTATGACTATGGCGCCCTGGAGCCCCACATCAGTGCAGAGATAATGCAGCTACACCACAGCAAGCATCACGCCACATATGTCAACAACCTGAATGTTACAGAGGAGAAATATCAGGAGGCACTAGCTAAAGGTACAAACACAGAATCCTGTGAACTATATTAGTTTAAAGAGGTCTATAGAAATGCTTGGATATGTTTGCTAAGTACAACAAGTTGGTAAATGCTGGCCCATAATGTGTTACTCATCTTAAGTATTTGTATTACATTTAAAAACATTTTATTTATGGTATTCACCTGCTTGAATGTGATCTGTATTGTAGGAGATGTGACCGCACAGGTCTCCCTTCAGGCAGCTCTGAGGTTCAATGGAGGAGGCCACATAAACCACACCATCTTCTGGACAAACCTCTCTCCTAATGGTGGTGGAGAACCACAAGGTAGGACAGAAATCCATCCAAAACTATGAACAGCGTGCTTTGTCTTATGCTAGTAACAATGCCATGTTTAGAAAATAACTCAAACATGCATTATAGGCAACACATGACCCTGGCCTTGGTTGCTATTTTCTCTTGGTTCTTGCAACAGACTGTGACTCACCACCCTTTCCTGACCCCAATCTGAATGCTAAACTATCCTGACCCAAATACTAGAGTATATGTGTTATCCTAGTTTTAAATAAAAATTGGATTGCAAACCAGAGTTCAATAAACATTTTATTTAGATGAGCAGAAATGTGATTTGAATGAAAACAACATTAGTTTGCTTTTATCCTGACATTGTTTTCTGCAACCACTCTGCCCTCTAGTGGTGAAAAAGGTTCCTCCAAAGACAGTAAAACTAAGCATTCAAACAGTATGTAGCCTCCTCCATTTTATATTTCTTTGTAGAACTAAGAAAGTTAATAAGTTTATGACATAGAGAACCTATTGTTCCTCAATGAAGCATTAAGGGTGTTGATTTTTTTTCCTTTTGCGTTTAATGTCTGCCTTTGTCCCAATGAAGCACCCCATCTGTGTCACTTGTTGTAGGGGAGCTCATGGAGGCCATCAAAAGAGACTTTGGCTCCTTCCAAAAACTGAAGGAGAAGATGTCTGCTGCCACAGTGGCCGTGCAGGGCTCAGGCTGGGGCTGGCTTGGTTTCGACAAAGAGAACGGACGACTTCGTGTTGCTGCTTGTGCTAATCAGGATCCCCTGCAGGGAACTACAGGTCAGTCTAAAATGTCTTTTGACTTATTTCTGAATGTATTGTGTTATATAGAGCCATCTCTGTAATTATTTCATCCGTCTGACCCTCAGGTCTGATCCCCCTGCTTGGTATCGATGTATGGGAGCATGCGTACTACCTGCAGTACAAAAATGTGAGACCAGACTATGTGAAAGCTATTTGGAATATCATTAACTGGGAAAATGTGAGCGAGCGCCTCCAGATTGCCAAAAAATAAAAACCTAATCTTAGAACACCCACAATATCTTCCTTCACTCTGACCTGGGCCTGGAACAAACAGTAGCTGCAAATAAAGTAAAGTGTTTTCTTGCATACAGTTTATGAGTGGTTGTGTAATTTGCATTCAGATTTACAAGAGTATGGATTTTGAGATTTTCAGCAGTTTCAAAGTTAATTTTTCTGTATTGCTGCAGATTAAACAATATAACACCCTCCACAAAAGTAACGACATTTGCAAACTTGCTTTTTCTCTCAGGTCTGAGCCCGACCATAAGTATCAGTCTTTTCAAGCGCACAAAATGGCCCTCTTTGCAACAAGGCCAGTTCTCCTAAATCCAATCCAAATGTCGGCTGCTATACATGTGGACCTTGTGTCAAATAATCAGAGTGCATATTAAATAAAGCATTGTCTTTGTCAGAATAAGTCACTAAAATCACAAAATGTTATGCAGTCTGTTTTTGATGTATTGTAATAAAATTGTAGGATTTCAATTGAACAAGCTTGTTAAGTTTGTGATTCATTCTTTAGTTTGCATATTTACTGAGAGATCGCCTTTTAAGAGGTTTTAAAAGTTAATTCAAAACACGTATGTGCATGCCATAAGATTACATGCTTTTATTCACACTCACCTTTTGAGTGGACCACCACCATTATACCTTCTTTTTGTCATTGAACATCAGGATTATATGAACTTTTGTCATCTCATAATTGATTTACAACAAAATATTGTGCAAGTCTGGATCTATTTGGAATGCTGTTAGTTATTCCCAATTCTGACCTGTTCTGTCCTACTATAACTACTGGACTAAACTAGTTCATGCTTAATCTGCTTATTGAAGCCTCTTGGAACAACAACATTGGCTGCCAAAGTCTTGGAAAATGTTTGTTAACCCACAAAGACACTGAACTATAATGCTGCTGGTTCTATTATTTATAAAACTATGATGTATTACCAAAAGGTGAAAAAAATATCTGTTATTGAGTGTTTTTTATCACAGGAAATGCAAGTCAAAGCACGTTTAAGTTTTAAAACATTGGCTTATAAATAAAGTGGATTTTTTTCCCAAATATGAGGCAAGCCCTCTCTCTTCCTGACATATTTTCCACTACACAAAAGCTGTCAACATTTGTTTTTCTGCTACTTTGTTAAGGATTTTCTAAAACATGGAACCAGTCCCGTCCACAAACCTCATATGAGGACAAACAGTAGGTACTTGTAGGGAATTCATCCTGTCTTATAAGATTAACTGTGATTTATAATTAATGAAAACATTTATGTTTACAATACATGAAATACTAACCAGTATATGAACCGTACTGTGTGCTCATTAAAGTGAGCTTATGTCTTTAACACAGAATAGAAGAAGTGAACTTGGACTACATTAGCAGCCCTGCCTTTACACAGTGCAGTCAGAAGAGGGCAGCGTCTTCAAGGGCTTCTGCTTTGAGTTTCCATCTCACTCAGTTGTATGCAAACCTTTTTGTTTTTTCAGTGCAAAAACTTGGAGTTTGTTCTGACCACAAGTGTGTGACAGGATTATATCCACTGTGATTTGTATAGGTAGACTTTCAAAAGGGTTTTTGAAAAGCTGTAGCAGTCCACTTTGACTTCAGAGTTTGTTTTACACAATGATGTCAAAGACAACTGGACAAAGGGCTTTAGGCCAGATTTGATCCTGTCATAAAAGAGTTTCTGCTCTTCCTGTGAGTGACAGAGACCATCAGTTTTCCCTGTGGGAATATCACAGTCCAGAGATTCCTCCCTTCATGTTGTGGTGATATAATGATGATGATGATGAAGAGGTCATCAGGTTTCTAGAGGACACTGTGAGTTCACGCACATGGTAACCAGACTTAAATCATCATGGGATTGAATCTGGCAACATTAGGTTGTGTTTAATTATTTTGATTGAGATTGTCTGACTGGATTAGGTCACTGAATGATTAAAAGAATAAAAACATGTTTAAACAGTGAACAAAGACACCAGTGAGTTATGGTGAATTAGAGCTGTTTGACATCACTATAATGATTGTAAAATCTGACTGACTGGCCTTTTAGGACTGATGTGGCAGGATGTCTGTTGAACAAGAAGCTTAACGGTGTGATTGTAGAGCCTTAAAGCTTCACAAAAAAGTAAAAGACATTTTCAGCCTTGAAAAACAGAAGTCTCCTCTCCCTAAACAGACGGTGGTTTGTATAAAATTGGCCTACTTTTTGCTCCCAAAATTTTTTTTGTGTGCCAAATATTATTTCCCTCTTCCTTAACTCGTAAAAAAAATGGAACTTACTCCAGATAAAGTTTCTCTGGAAGTGAAGAAAGGAAAATGTGGAGCATATGTCTCACTCACTGGGTTTCAGTCCTCACTGAAATCTGTCTGTCTTCTATTTCAGATTGTCTTAAATATCATTGTCAATGTTTTTAACAATGCTGTGCTTTATAAAATGACTTCCAAAGAACTGAAACCTCTTACCCTGACTCTTTAAATTATTCTGACATGTTTTTTCTTTGGTTTAATTTCTCTGTTAATCACTTTGATCATCCCAGTGTATAAAAAGTGCTGTAAAAATAAGCTGTCCTGCTTTGCCTTTCTGAACTTTCCCTGTTTCTCTCTGCAAGTAAACCACGACATACAAATTCAACTTTGTCTCCATCAGGCATTCACAGAATGTACATCTAATCGTGCCTTTGGGACCAACTCAGATAAACAAAATGATACTCTAACACAAGTTGAAAGGACCAATTTGAACAAATAAGACAGTTTTGTTTAAAAAATTTTAAACACACACAGAAAGACAAACTTTAGGGTAAACAAACTGGGCTTGTTTGAGAAGCTTTCCAATGGGTTCACAAAGGCATGCAACAGCAATTTCAGAGAAATTTTAAGAGAAAAAAAGACGTGACTTCAGATAAATTTAAAAATGCTGAGTCACCTTTCTCCCCTGCTACCCAGTGTTGTACTTAAAGGGATATTTCAACGTATCATTTCCTTTAAGTAATTATCATCAAAATAATCATTTTGCTCTGCAGACGCGGTAGTTCTTCTGCCTTAGCATCTTGGTCTGATTGCATTGCCATGAAGTAATGATCATAAATGTTCTTCCTTGAGCTGTGAAACTACACTGCACTCGGTGATTGACTCGTCAGGGCTCCCCCACAAACAAGCAGCTCCTGGAGGAGAGTAGGTGAGTTGTATTTGATCTCTTTGCCAAAGAAAATCAGGCAAAGCTAAAAAGATGTTTGATGGTTAGTACTATGGCTGGAACCCTATATGTACTGTTGATGAAGTTAGGTGCTGTTCTGAACATTGTTTGTGGCTATAGAGTGACTTTTTGGTTGAGGTTTGCACATGGAGCCATAGACCGCTGTGTATTGCTATCGTGCGGTCATTGCTGAAGTTGGTATAGCTAGAGAAGCAAGCAGTCGGCAACATGCATCTCTCGAGGGGGTGTCTTACTCGGTATTACAGTTTTATTTTAATGTAGTCTATCCTCTTAAATGTGTTGTAGAGGCAGATTGTTCCCATAAAGCTTTAAATAGATATTGGGAAAAAAAAAGTAAAGAGAAAGGTTTGGTACAATGGACAACTAGCTCAAAAAGTTAGTTTAAAAAGCATAAAATTATACAGTAGATTAAAAAGACAAAAGTAGAGCAGGAATCATTTGGTTTCCCAGATAAGTGTAAAGAATAACAGCTTCAATTTTAGCTAAGCATTAAAAAGGAATAACAGAGATACATAGCTTAAAGTAAAAGCTGATATAGTAATGTGAATGTCATGTATTCATGTCTGTTGTCAAAAATGTGTAGCTTGTAATGTAGGAGCATTAAGCATAACAATAGGCCTACCTGGAAGACATGGGGCATAGTACTTACAAGTGAGACAATGGGCTCTATTTTCGTGCCTCGCCGGAGACGTGTCGCAGGCGCAGCGTAAATCAGGTCCGCCGTGCTGACAAGGCGTTCCTGAGCACAATTTGGTATTTTGGCGAGCAGCGCAGCCCGGCGTAAGTATCCCCCCTCCCTAACTCAGCTCCTCCCAGCAGTGTAAGTCGTAGCGAGGGAGGAGAGAGGGCGTGGAGTGGATTTAACACAGCCGAGACCTGTTTTCACCAATCACATCAGCTCCTCTCCTTGCCTTTAAATCCGCCACAGGCGAGGCGTATTACTATTTTCGTGAAGTTGTCAAAGAGATCAAGAGATGTCTGAAGACAGTAATGCCACAAGATGGCGACAGAAGGCAGCTCCTCAACAAGTGTCACTGTAAGCGTTGCATTGGGCGTCCTCCACACTCTCTCATATGAGCACAGATGGATTTGGTGTGTGTAATGTTGGACCCACTGGTAAGAAAAACACCCTTTTCCACAAATAAAGACGCTCACATAAAGTTGCATATATTCAAACCTCACGTCAAAGGTGGGTTGAGCGCACAGATCACAACATTAACTCCAAAAATGACATTAAAATTGGAACCATCTGTGCGTAAATGACGCATCGCGCTCTGTGGCCTGGCTCTTTCTTTCATAGATGTTGGCATATAAAATAAATTTGGCTCACAAAACTGAATATTATAATATCCGTATGTCGGCTTAAAGTAGATAATGCATCTGAGCACTGAAACAAATCATCTGTTCAGCCGCAGCTGCAGCAAGACGGACAGAGGGCACGGAGACGTGTCCGGGTCGAGCTGTGCGAGAAATAAGAGGAAGAGGAAGAAAGAAAAGGAGGGAGACGAATTACATATCTAGTTAACTTCATCATGTGTGTCTATTTACTAGATATTTAATTCAATTTAATTTAATGCGGTTTCAGCTGTGTTGATTCGGTCATGTTGTGTGTCCAAACGCGTGCCAAACGCGCTCATCAGATCAGATATCGATCAGAATATATCGATATAGATCTAAATGTATGTGCTGACTCAGATTAATAGTTGTTGATGATTATCTATTGCACTGAAATATACCTGACACTGTGGAAACATGCCGGTGAGGCATCAGTGACGTATGCCGATACGCCGCCGGTCTACCAAAATACCACTAGACCAGCTGTGCTCCGCCTGCGCTGAAAGCTGACCAGGTTTGAATCAGCGAGCTTTCAGCGCACCTAACACGCCACTGGCGAGCATGAAAATGTCACTGCGCCCGCTGATTCTGTCGACACCTCCCCCTGCCATGCCACCACGCCCAGCTTGGCGGATCTCGGTTCGCCTCCGTGCGCCTCAGTCCACGAAAATACCAACCTGGCTGTACGCCGGGCTCCGCCAGACGAAAATACAACTGCGCGGGGCTCACCGCCCTCCGTCGCCTCACCGGCGTACATGAAAATAGAGCCCAATGTTTTACTTTGTGTATAATAATCTGAATCATTTTTGTTTTGTTAGCTTCAAATTAGTATTTCGTATCTACAGAAGGTGGCCACCATCCTGCACCACCATGTCCTATGGTAACAAAGAACAGGCAAAGTTCTCATTATTGTATTTAGACTGGATGCCCCAGCTGGCAGACAAGGAAGAAGAGTGGTTATGCACATGAAAATGAAATTTATAGACATATTTGATGGTAGAATCTTGACAAATGGAGGATCACATATTATATCTTGTCCCAGGAACTGCTTGTCCTTAAAGGCCGCCATCCCTTCATCAACAACATGGGTGAGCAAGGAAGTGTTTCAATCGATAATCTACCCACGAAATATCACTAAACATCCCCATTTAACTTTAACAACTGTGTCAACATTACCTAACATTAACACTTGCCATGAAGAATCAGTAGTTGTAATTTATCTTGAAGCAAATGGGATATCTAAGCCAGCAGAACTTTTCATCACAGTATTTCCCAAATCGAGGTCAGCACCTTCAAAACTCGCCGGTGTCCAGAACCCTTGCAGCTTTGTCATCATATTTTTTGGCTCTAAACGATCTTCAGCCCCACAGAGTTATCCCACATTGTTCGCTGATGTAGACAGCCTGGGCTTTTTACCCTACACAAGCTGACATCGTCCCATTTGGACTGAAAATCCATTAGAAAAAGTGAAGTGTCAACATTAAGGAGGTAAAACTTTCCAGCATTAGCTGTCCGTTGTTCCTGGCAGGGATAGAGACAGCGCTCTATTCAGGGCACCCGTTTGGATCTGGGCCTGAGTCTGAGTGAATCTGAGAAGGAGGTCTCCACCACTGGGCGTTGAGAACCAAGAACCAGACATTTTAGTGGGTCTGAGGGAGCAGGGTTTTGTGGTAAACTGTAGTACCTCAGCCTGACAGGGAGATTGATTCATCATGGTCACTTAGAAGACCAGACGGACAGAGAAACATCCTCTCTAGAGCTTGAACTGGTGGATAGGTGCATAATATGGTAGGTCATCACCTAATCACCATTTGGTCTCCTCTCTCTCTCTGTCAGGGTTTCAATGAATATTTCTTCACCTGGAAATGGCTTTCTATGAAAGTGTGTGTTAAAAAGGAAACAGAGAGAGAGGGAAAGATTGTTTTGGCGAGAGGGTGTGACTATTCTGGTTAATTCCTCACTGTTATGTAACAGTCACCGCACCAGAGAGTTTGAGGGCTTGTGGACTTTGTTGAGGCAGCACAGTGTGATGAAAAATTGCAGGCCTGGGGTCAGTTCGGTTTATGTGGGATTGATCCAAGACTGACAAATCCACATGGAGGAGATCACTCGCTTTTCTTCTTAAAATTGAAATACTGTCTTTTCTGCCAACTGTAGCTCATAGAGGGATTAAACTGCAGACCTTCTATTTATTAGATTTATAATGACTGCAAATATTTACACTCATTACGCATCACCGCGGCTTTGTTTCATGGATAATTTTATAGGCTTTCAAATGGAGCAGCTGTTGGGGCTTTATTACCCTGACACCTTGTTTAACAGTTGTTTGGAAAATTATTTTTCCCTTTCCATCTTCATTTCTCTATGATCCATCTTGGCAATTAAACCTTCAGGTTTCTTATTCAATAATCTCACTGGATTTAATCAAGAGAGCAGTCGAGTTTTCCTGTTCAAATTTGGCTGTCTTTACACATCCTTTGCAGCAAGTCAGCAGACTCTGCCAGGCACTCAGGATATCAGAGGGGAAAAGACTAAGAAGAAACGAGAAGTGTTTGGAGTACAACCAAAGACTGAGGATTATCATGCAATAAGGTGCCTTTGTGTGCAACAGAGTCTTCCTCTTGTCTTGTGTGGAGTCACGCTTGCTTCCAAACTACCTAAAAAGTAAGCGGTCATATTCAGAATCTCTCCCAAGAGGACAGGAATGAAAAATCTTCTCCAACACATCAAAACAATCGTTCATTTTCCACAAAGTGCCTGAAATTGACATGCAAGCACAAGAAAAGTGGCTACTTCAGTTTCTCCCGCTTGGAAAATCTGGAAAGACCCAAAATTGGAATTTTCTGCTGAATTACCTGAATACAAACACAATTAAAACTACAAATCATTGTTAGACAGGAGGCATG